TACAGAGCCTCGTGTTAGAAAAGGGCGCGAAAATAAATGGGTGTCAATTTGAGAGGCATGACGTTTGATACATTTACTTTGAAATCCATGTTTAGGGCACGTAGCCTTATTCTCTTATCAAATGGGCTGTGATTCGTGGCTTTATGGTTAGAGAATAATTGCATAATACAAAGAGAACTCTTACTGGAAGAAAACGGGTTTGGTAGGGCTAAATCTATTTAAGGCCAGCTCAATTTTCGTCAAGGTCGCTAAGATGTAAATAAGGTTAGAGCCTGTGATTGTTGGCCAGATTGTAGGTTAGGGTTAAGGTAAGCATTGGGGCTAGGTCTAGGGTTAGGGGTTAGGTTTAGGGTTAGCGCTTGTCCTGTTTACATCTCTTGACCTTTGACATCTGCATTTGGCCTTAATATTTAGATCCAACTGCTGGAATGGATATTTATTTGAAGTTCCTCGACTACACGACAGGGGATAACCTTTGATCGTGTGTATTATTTTGATAATCTGTGGGATACACCCCAATCGATCGTTCTCACCTGTATAACATTACACCTCAATAAACTAATTAATTCACATCGTGTTTGATGTAAAACCAGTGAACATCCCTAAATCCACAGGTGAAATGTATAAATAAAATGCTGGCATCCTACTTTCCTTCATCAACTGGGAGCCACGGTGGCTCAGTGAGTAGGACGTTGGCTCAAGTCCTGTGTATATATTGACATGCACGTAAAAGATCCCTTGGCAGTTGGAATTCGATATAAGAGTAGGCCATAGTGCCGCTGTCCGGGCAAAATTTTACTCATACATTGTTTGGTGTATGCACGTTGGCTCGTTAACATGGAGGTCCCATGTGAGATCCCTGCGTTGGCTGTGAAAGTTCATCGAGACTTTCTGTAAGACACAACGTATAGACGTTCGGACGAGACGAAAAACCAAGATCTCGTGTGCACATTGGCGTACACGTCAAAGACCCCTTGGTAGTTGGAATTCGATATAAGAGTAGGCTGTAGCGCAGCTGTCCGGGCAAAATTACCCTCATAGCACACTGTGTGGTGTATGCCCGTCTTCATTAGTCCAGTCGGAGCAGAACATAAGGGTGTTAAACCCCATTTCATTTTTTTTTTTTTTCATTAACTGTGCTAATGAAGACGAGAATAGGCCGTGCAATCGGATGTGACGGACATTTTTCCCGGACAGGGACGTTTCCGCCTACTATTCTGCGAATTCCCATTGCCGATGGATCTTTTACGTGCACGCTAATTTGTACTCGGGAACACTAGACGCTGCTCTTTGCCAAGTCCTGTCCAACCGACAAGGTGAAACTAGGCTGGAAAATATCTCGAGTAATTTTCTCGCCTAACATTGACTCGGTCGAATAAAAAAGAAAAACATTCATACAACGTTTTGGTATTTTTCAAAATCGAAGCAATGTGTGGGATAAGATCTCTGGTATATACAAGGTTAATGAGTATAGACAAGGTTTGACGGGTATTGATAATATCAAAATATCGACACTTTAAAGTAGCTTGGTCTCTAACTCAATATTATTGAAAACAAGAATTATTTGTCAATTTAAATTAACATTAATGTTGTGATCTCACCGGGAAAAGATGGGCTTTTGATATCAAATATTTAAGACAAAATAAACATTTAACCAGTGGAAGGCTACACGAATACACGAATCGTGTACCATAATGGGTTTCGGCGCTATTTGTAACAAGGGATTCGAAAATCGAAGCTAGGTAAGACATATTCCACAAGTCATGTCAAACAGTGACGCCATATTCTTATCTGCAGAACATACGTAATAAATACTATCGGTGTAGACTGGAAAAACTAGACTCGATTGAGACTTATTCTGGCGTATTTCGCCCAACATAACTGATTAGAATTAGAGTAAAACCGGAAACGATTGAATGTAAATCAGTTTATGTACATTCATAATATATGTGTTGCGACCTATTTGTGTCAATTTCTAAGTCCCAAATGTTAGCGATTTGGCTCCTTTAAATAAGCCAAAATGTATTTGACTCGAGAAATTTCCATTTTGAGCTACAGAATACACGAGGGTAATAGTTAAAAGGCATATAATTCCACAATAAAACCTGGATTATAGACAAAAATAAAATGAAATGGGGTCTTATCTGAATCGATTGTGAAGCTCTCCGGACTTTTTTTGTCACCACGTCGTCTCTCGACTCTTGGAAATGAAATGAAATGGGGTTTAATGTTCTACTGTTCTGCTCTGAACTGAGTTAATGAAGATGGGCATACGCCATACAATGTGTTATGAGGGAAATTTTGCTTGGACAGCGACACTACGTCCTACTCTTATATCGAATTCCAACTGTCAAGGGATCTTTTACGTGCACGCCAATGTGTACACGGGACTACACAGCTGTCCTTGTCAGGCCCTCCGTCTTGCATCACTGACAAGGGGGGACCATGCCGGAATTAGACTCTTGGAAAACATTCTTTTCAGGTGGTTGCAATTTTAAAAGATGATGTCAAAATGGGGTCCCGAGAGCTTGTTTTAAGGTCAATTTTTAAGCTAAAAAAAACCCGCAGATCTTTGGGGAAACCCATACCCTGTATTATAAACTATATTTCTTGTAATGATCAAAATTCCAGTTGTATAGTTGTATACTTTATAAAGTTTTGTTCTGGCATCATGTCGAGTGTAAAGAACTGTCAAAATGGGGTTCCGAGAGCTTGTCTCAGGGTCAATTTTTAAGCTACACCCCCAGCCCCCGATCTTTGGGGAAACCTCCCATCGCTGTATTATATATAAAATATATTTCCTGTAGTGATCACAATGCCAGTTGTATAATTTATAAAGATTAAAACTCAAATTTTGGGGGATCCCCCCCACCGAATCAATGTATTATAAAATATATTTCCTGTAATGATCACAATGTCAGTTATACAATTTATAAAGTTTGGTTTTGGCACCATGTCGAGTGTGAGGAATTTTTCTGAGTACTGTCAAAATGGGGTCCCGAGAGCTTGTCTCAAGGTCAAATCTTTGGGGAAGTCCCTACCACTGTATTATAAACTATATTTCCTGTAAAGATCAGTTATATAATTTATAAAGTTTTGTTCTGGCAAAATGTCGAGTGTGAGGAATTTTCGTTAGTACTGTCAAAATGGGGTCCCGAGAGCTTGTCTCAAGGTCAATTTTTAAGCTACCCCCACCCCACCCCCGTCAGATCTTTGGGGAAGCCCCTACCCCTGTATTATATATAAAATATATTTCCTGTAATGACCAAAATGCCTGTTGTATAATTTATATAAAGTTTTGTTCTGGCACCATGTCGAGGAATTTTTGTTAGTACTGTGTAATCCGCCTACTGGATCTCGAGACGCTTTTTATGTATGAGATATTTGTGATTCCAGGATAACAAGACGTATATATGATATATTTATTTAGAGCAGATTCACGCGGTTTCATCTGGTCCTGATTTTACCAAAGCTCTCCATGGAGAAGAATCCTGCCAGCAAGAGAACGATAGGTGATTCACCGGCGCCGTTATTTCATTTTTACCGGTTGCTACTGATCTGATAACAGGTGCGATGTCGTCATAGGTTGGTCTAATGGAACATCATCATTTTCGATCAAGAACTGAATATACAGACCTATATACGTACGAGCACGATAATAAGACGTCCACAAACGCGTTTTACGGCCATTTTGGATCGTGACTATAGCAACTGGAAAGTAGTCAAGTATAATCTTATTTATGTGATTTTAGAACTCAAATCCCAATCTCTGAGCCCCCGCCCAAAACCATGGTTCGAACGCCTATGTATAGACCCTATTTAAAGGAGCTAAATCGGTAATATTTTGGAGCAAGAAATTGGCACAAATGGGTCGCAACACATATAATAGGAATTTATATAAACTGTTTTACATTCAATCGTTTCTATTTTACTGTGAATTGTCATCAGTTATGTTCGGCGATATACGCCAGAAGTCTCAACCGAAAGTCAGTTTCTAGCGTCTGATTATTCCAGTCAACATTGATAGTATTTATTGTGCATGCTCTATAAATAAGAATATGGCATTACCGTTTAATATGACATGTGGAATATATGTCTAGCCTCATTCTTTGAGCACCTTGTTACAAATTGCACTGAAACGCATTATGGTACACGATTCATGTACCAATGGTAAAAAGTTTATTTTGTCTGAAATATTGGATATCAGAAGCCCATATTTTCAAGTTAAGATCACCACACCAATGCTGATTTAAATTGCAAAAAAAATCGTGTTTTCAATGTCGAAGATTTTGGATGATATTGGGTTACGGACTTAGCTACTTTAATTTCAACAAGCGATAGATAATATCTTGAAATGGCTTAAGACATGGGGACAGTTTTATCAGACTTTTGATCAGTAAAATGTAATGTTTGATCATTAGAGGCTACAAATACCTGAAAAAGTTCATAACTAAAACATGCCGTTCTGTAAATCTTTATAGCAATAGGAAATTAAAGAAAGAGAGGAATGGGGTTTAACGTCCACTCGACACTAACTAGGTCATTTCGGGATTAACATATGGTTCAAATTTATTTCAATAATTCGCTTGGGCTTAGGGGTCTTTAGCAGTGGGAGGAAACCGGGGAACCCTGCGAAAACCTACGGGGTTGGACAGGCGACCCTACTCCCTGTCACCTACAATCAGGGAATCGAAACCACGCCAGATGACTCAATGACAGACCTTATGATACAACGCGCATGCAGTAACCATCCCCCTATACAAGACGATTATTATTATTATTGATTGTCTGCAATATCACCTCAGTGTGGACAGTTTATCAGTAAAATGTAATGATTGTGGACAGTTTATCAGACTATCAGTAAAATGTAATGACTATGGACAATCCATCAGTAAAGAGTAGGAAAATACTAGGGTATTTTTTGGATTTTTTTTTTTATTAATTTTATAGCTTTATACAACACTGTACAATATTTACAAACTAAATCTAACCAACATGGCATCACTAAATACTCTGTTTATTAATTAACCATGCATTATGTAAGAGCTAAATCTGCCTATTCAAGCTCTTAATTCCTGATTTCAAATGTGATTTAAATTATTATATATACATTAATTCCATAATCAACTCTCTAGACCATCTGGTGCCTTGGATATTAATTGGGTTAGATCACCAGTGCTATTTAATTGGTTAATGCAAATATGGAAAATCGAGAGCAGAGTATGCTATTCTTGTTGAACCTTGAAGCAGTGATTCTCAACCAGTGTGCCGCGAGATTTTCCTTAGTGTGCCGACCGATAAGTTCTTTATTCAATTTGAGTCTTTCTATGCGTCTATGACTAGTCTCTGTCTATGGCTATATGCCGTCTGACTTACCATGTTTTGGGTTTTTTTGCAAAACTCAAATATTTTTCATATATATTTATCCAGGTGTGCCACTATGTTTTCATGTATTCCAAGGTGTGCCGCTGGCAAAAAAAGGTTGAGAACCACTGCCTTGAAACAAAGATAACTAAGATCAGAGTATAGTAATTTCACTGATATTTTCAAAATCTTCATTCTTCATGAACTATTTTTTAAATATTATAGCAAGAACGACAAGCTCTTTATCTAAATCTTACATAATAATGCTTCTTCCAGTTATTTGTAATTATAAACCATTATTACATAATCAGTATATCTAACTATAAAAAAAAACAAAACACAACTTCAAAAATTAGCAGTATGGTTGTCAGTAAGTTAAACACAAACCTCTCTCTCTCTCTCTTCTGTTTCCCTTTGTGCACCAAATTATAATAATAATAATAATAACAGTCTATTTATATCCATGCATAAGCTAACTCACCAGTCTAAGACCTGAAGACAACAGTCACAAAGTGAATGCTTTCTTAAAGAACAAATTTTGAGAGAGAGAGAGAGAGAGAGAGAGAGAGAGATGGCGGATGAAATTCTAAATCTTGTATTTATTAAATCCACTAGAGAGAGAGAGAGAGAGAGAGTTTAAAACAGCCGTTAAAAAAAAGTCTTCTCATCAATATGTTAAATTTTATTTAATGAAATAAATTTGTTTAGAAGAAAAGCAGAAGATCCTAACTAAAGGTTAGTAAGTGACTTTTCTCTAATTAATACTTTAAAAATATATCTCGTTAATCTCCCACCAAACATTATTACACTTAAAGTTATATACAAACATTATTAGATTTAAATTTATGTTCAAACATTATTAGGCTTAAAGTTATGTTCAAACATTATTAGGCTTAAAGTTATGTTCAAACATTATTAGGCTTAAAGTTATGTACTAACATTATTAGGCTTAAAGTTATGTACAAACATTATGAGGCTTAAAGTTATTAGGCCTACGTAAAAAATAATATTAAGCCTAACATCATTAGGCCTACGTAAAAACTATTAAGCCTAAAATCATTAAGCCTATGTAAAACAATCATTAGGCCTTTTTAAAAACTATTAAGCTTAACAGTATTCGGGCTATGTACAAACTATTAAGCTTAATGTTATTAGGCTACGTAAAAACTATTATTAGGCTACGTAAAACCTATTATTAGGCATATGTAAAAACTATTAAGCCTAAAATCATTAGGCCTATGTAAAAAATATCAAGTTTAAGAATATTAGGCCTATGTACAAACTATTTAGCTTAACATCATTAGGCCTATGTATAAACTATTAAGCTTAACATTATTAGGCCTATGTACAAATTATTTCCCTTTATTTTCATCAGCAAATGGATCTTTAATAACAAAATTATCTATTTATTCAAAATTTTAAAAGTTCTTTATGTCGGACAAATTGTTGAAATAGTTATGCCGCTGTTGGAGGTAATCAGTAGGACCAGTAATTAATAACACTAAAATATTTTATGCCCTTAAAAGTAACAAAGTTTACAGTATTTAACAAGTTAGTATTATGGTCAGGGTGAAGCCATCAAGCCCAACTGGTCCATAATCAATGTACAGCTGTTCTCTTCTGTTGTCTTAGGTTGGTAACTTCTCGTGTCAGTTCTCGATGGGCTGTTACTAAGCTTTCCTGAAAATAAACACAGCATTTAAAAATATATTATTTATGAGCTAAATCTACCTAATGTAGATCTTTCAATAGACCCTAAATGTTATATGTATTGTTCAATGGTCAAGAGCGAGACATTAAACATGCATTATGCAAGAGCAAAATCTGTTTATTACAAGTCTTTCTTTAGGCCTGAAATGTTATCTAAATTATCAATTAGACATTAATTAACTTATCCAGACCATAATAAACTCTCGATGTCAAGGCTAGCCTTCGATGTTGGCTGGATTAGATTCCTATATGCCGCTAACGACCGTTGATAATTAAATTAGAAAAAGTGGATAATCGAGACTATGCTGTTTATATAAATGATTTTAGTAATGATGACCGAGACTATGCAAAAATTTCACCCGCTTCTTTCTCGGCTCATAGTGGATCAATTTGACTGAAATTTTCAGCAAATTACCTTTACACTATCTAGTTTTTAACTATTATAGCAAGAACTGCCATCTCTTTATCTTATCTCCCATAATGATCTTTAAGTAATATATTGTAACAACAAGAGGACCGTGAGGCCCGAATGTATATATTACAATATATTACGCAATGTCTTAAGCTCAAGACCATTAAACTTAAACAACTTAAAATACACGTGCTTGCAATGAAATGTGTCACTCGGATTCAATATTTTAACTAGTTACACTTGGCACATTGCCCGTACGATTATTTCAGTCAAATTGCTCCACTGTGAACCAAGATATTAGCGAGTCAATTTTAGGCTAGCCTCGATTAGCTTTACTACCATTATTATGATAATAAACAAAATCTCAATGATGCATTTTTACAGTTATTTCATCCAAAATGTATTCAAATCCAGTTAATATCGCAGGGTAACGATTTGATCATGATCTGGATAAGTTAATTAACCCGTTTAGTGCGTAGGTCATTATATAACGTCCTGGACAACTGCCACTCACTGTGTGTAGGGCGTAATATAATGCCTTGCAGGTATTTTTTCCCAACCTATTCTTAAAACATAGTACATAGTCCTTCGTCACTTCATCAAATTAATTACACAATAGGGGGAAGTGAACGTTTTAAAGACGTCACGCTTAACCGGTTAATGTCTAATTAATAATTTAGATAATATTTCAGGCCTAAAGAAAGACCTGAAATAGACAGATTTAGCTTTAGCATAATTATGTTTAATCATTACACATCAATAATCAATTGGGTTGTTTATATTTTAACAGTGATCAAGAAATTAAACACTTATAAATTAAACAATTATTTCCAAAATAAATGTTATGTTTTAAACTGGACACAATGATTTTTTATAGGATGTTTATGAATTTTTTAAACAAAGATTTGATATTGAATGAATGTGAAAGAAATTTGGGTAAGATGAAATGATACCTAGGTGATTTTTAGAAAGAATCAATAAAGTTAACCAACCGTTAGTCATATTTATGAAGTTTTAATTTTGACAGATGTTCCTCGACGATTAGCCAGAGATCATTACTAAAACTGTACAAGTACTTTTAGTACAAGTGATTTTAGAAAGAATTAATAAAGTTAACCAACCGTTGGTCATATTTTCAAAGTTTTTTTAATTTTGACAGATGTGCCTCCACGATTAGCCAGAGATCATTACTAAAACTGTACAAGTACTTTTAGTACAAGTGATTTTAGAAAGAATTAATAAAGTTAACCAACCGTTGGTCATATTTTCAAAGTTTTTTTAATTTTGACAGATGTGCCTCCACGATTAGCCAGAGATCATTACTAAAACTGTACAAGTACTTTTAGTACAAGTGATTTTAGAAAGAATTAATAAAGTTAACCAACCGTTGGTCATATTTTCAAAGTTTTTTTAATTTTGACAGATGTGCCTCCACGATTAGCCGGAGATCCTTACTAAAACTGTACAAGTACTTTTAGTACAAGTGATTTTAGAAAGAATTAAAAAAGTTAACCAACCGTTAGTAATATTTTCAAAGTTTTTTAATTTTGACAGATGTGCCTCCACGATTAGCCGGAAATCATTACTAAAACTGTACAAGTACTTACATTTTCTGTGGATAATCTAGCATATTCGTTAGCAACACGACCACTACTCTGTTGATTCAATCTCTCTTCTCTTTCAAACTGTTTTGTCAACTCATGTCTAAAATATTCAAAAAAACTTTTATATAACTAAACATCTCCCTCCCATATTTCTCTGATTTAAAATAAAATGAAATGAAATGGGGTTTAACGTACTACTGTTTTGCTCCGAACTGGGCTAATGAAGACTGGCATACGCCATACAGTGTGCTATGAGGGAATTTTGCCCGGGCAGCGGCACTACGGCCTACTCTTATATCGAATTCCATCTGTCAAGGGATCTTTTACGTGCACGCCAATGTGTACACAGGACGTCAGTTTTTCGTCCATCCGAACGACTAGACAGCTTTCCTTGTCAGCCCCTCCGTCCTGCATCACTGACAAGGGAGAACCACGCCGGAAAATCTGGATGAACTTTCTCGGCCAATGCAGGGATCTAACACCCAACCTCCAGGCTAGCGAGCCAGTGTCTTACCCACTTAGCCACGCGATTCCCTCTCTGATTTGAAGGCAGATATAATATATCTGTCATAGCAACAAATTTTAGCAAGTGGTCTTCAAATTCAAACAAAAAGTTTTGAAGTCTATGCACCAAGGGAATTTGTCTGAAATCAATGAACTACTGAAGAAATTTGTTTTGAAGTCCATGTATTGGGGGAATTTATTTTGGAGTGCACATACTTAGGGAATTTGTTTTGAAGTACATATACTGAGGGAATCTGTTTTGAAGTCCATGTACTGAGGGAATATTTTTGAAGTCCATGTACTGAGGGAATTTGTTTTGAAGACCTGTACTTGATAACGATTAGAGAATACTTGTCGAAATGTCGTGCTATATGTGTATGTATAAACCAGTGATTGTTTTCCATATAAATTGTGTATAAACCAGTGATTGTTTTCCATATAAATTGTGTTGTGTTTTTTAATATGCTCAATCACTAAATGCCACTCAAGGATTTTATTAGCCCAGTCGTACAGAACAGTAGGCCATTAAAACCCATTTCATTTCATTTATTTTTTGGCAGCAGGTGAATTCCAGCACATTAAGAAGGAAAAAGAAAAATGTGAGTTGAGGTTGGCAGACTTATTACTCGAAGCAGACACAACAAGAGTTAAATAGACAGAAGAATTAAGCTTTATATAAAGGCATCGAGCATGCTTGAGGCCGATTAACTAGGATCTTAAATAGCAGCCTTATTTGGGCAAACATCCTTACTCCAATACGATTGGTCTCATGTCAACAAATCGTTGTTTATTCTTACGTCTCGCCTCGCTACTTTAAATCCTATCACTCTCATCCAGTGTTACACTTATTTCAAGTACTGGATAATTTGTCTACTAATCTTTAATTATGATTAGCTGTCCTTGAGACTAGATTATACAGGTGGATTGTTTGAACTGTGTCTGGGGAAGTGTTTAAAGTAGTGTAACAATAACTCAGGAACCATTTTTTATTTTTTTTGTCTTGGGGATAAATCTGCTAAAATTAAGCAATCAAAGTTGGATTAGTTTGTCAAATATTATTGTAGATACAATCTGATTAAAACACAGATCCTATTTCGTTTCATTTTTTATAATTCAAAATTTTGTTTTACTTGTCATTACTACACCAGGATCTGAAAGCGTTGTTATATTACTGGCATTCTGGTTGAAGTGAGGGATTAGCCATTGAAACGGTCTGTTACAGCAAGTTCTTGGCATGCGATGCACAAACTGTGGGTAAACCACTAGAAACATCAACGCTGATTGATTAATCAAATGTCTGAAGTCATAGGGTCAAAACCCGCTCGTAGACTCCTGACGTCATAGGGTCAAAAGCCGCTCGTACGACCCCTGACGTGACCTTAAGTACAAATGGTCAGATCTTCATGTAGCGTAGGCCACCGAAGGCTACAGAATATAAGTATGGTTGGTTAATCATTATCACTCACACAATCAGATTCAAATACAGGTCCTATTTCGTTTTGTTTTTTGAGCCACGGTGGTCGCTTACTGTCACTCACAAATAATATAATATTTGATGTCAGCTGATATAATGTATCTTTAAGAGTGACAATCTAATAATAATATAAAAGATATCTTACTTTCGTTGTATGAGTAGAGCCATTTCTGTTCTTTCACGTAAATATTCCTGCATTAACTGAAAAACAAGAAAATGTGTTTTATCTTGAACCATCTTAACCTTGGCGCTGCAGTGGCTCAGTGTGTAAAAATGCTAGCTCACTAACCAGGAGATCTCGGGTTCACTCACAATGTTGGCCAAAAAAAAAAAGTAGGACATTAAACCCCATTTCATTTCATTTCCATCTTAACCTTCCCATCAATGAGGGGGGTCTGATGGGCGAATGGTTAGCGCATGCCTGTTGCATCATAAGGTCTGTCATTGAGTCCTCCTACTAGTTAAGACCTTGTCACAGAGAGAGAGAGAGAGAGAGAGAGAGATACCTGCACTCGACACAAACTAGGTCATTTCGGGACTAACATATGGTTCAATTTTATTTCAATAATTCGCATGGATGTAGGGGTCTTTAGTAGTGGGTGGAAACCAGAGAACCCGGAGAAAAACCACAAAGTTGGACAGGCGACCCTATACCTTGTCACGTACAACGAAACCACGCCAGTTGACTCAATGACAGACCTTATGATCTGATGCGTGCGCGCTAACCATTCGGCCAACCACCCCCAACACCCCTGTAAATAGTTATAAAATAAATCTGCTATATCTGAGCACAATTTGAGTACAAGTGTGTGAACAAATTATACCTGGAAAACAACCTGTTCAACACCACAAAGTAGATATATAAATACATTTCAAGGTATATTTATAGGTAATGTCAGTAATCTATATTGGGTTTATACACCTGTTAATAGGTATATTTAGTACCTATAAATGTCAGGTGACCCAATGTGAATAACCTAGCCGAAACCTATATTAAAATTAAGATTAACATATATATATACCATTGGCAGCATCGATTGCCCGGCTACACACTTTCCTTGTCAGCTATGTTGTTTTAAAATAAGTCTAAAATTAGTTCAATAGACAATCTGACAAAAATACACATCAGATCTATATTTTGTTTCGTTTTTTTATACTTTTGATGGCCTCACTACATGAAGATCTGATAAGTTGTAGTGATAGGTAACGTCAGGGGTCATACGAGCGACTTTTGATCCTATGATGTCAGACATTTGATTACCCAATCAGCATTGATGTTTCTAGTGGATTACCCACTGTTCCGTGCACCACATGCCAAAAGCTCACTGTAACAGACCGTTTCATTAGCTAAACCCTCACATCATCCAGAACATGTCAATGATAACAACTCTTCCAGATCCTAGTGTAGTAAAGACAAGTAAAATGAAATTTTTGAACTATAAAAATGAAACGAAATAGGATCTGTGTGTTAATCAGATTGTTCAATAGGTCTCCTAAAGCTAAATTGTAGTCGAGTAAAACATAAAACAACTTACATTACAATGTTCGTCATATATCGCCATTGATTCCACGTTCTCTGGAAAAGGGGCCAAGGGCTGAAAATATCAACAAATGAAATGAAGTTATAGTAATGCAAGAAAATGCCAAAAAGAAAGAGTGTCACAGATGCAAATTGGGTGATAAAGTGTGTGTGAGAGTAGCGGGGGGGGGGGGGGGGGGGGGGGGGGGTAGAGGGTACTCCCCACTGACATTTTTACCATTTCGGCGAACGTCAGTACCAACTAATCCATTGCAGGATTCATAACAACAAAAGTAATTTAAACTTTTATAAATTCCTTACTAATATCAGTGATAACCCAACATGCTCATGTGGCCATCAAATAGAGAATCACGAACATTATTTTCTCTACTGTAATAACTATTCAACTATCAGATATACAACCATTAATACACTGCCACGCAGTTTCCAGTGGTCTATCTTTTGTTTACGTAAAGACGACAATGACCTTGGTGACGATGTAAACGAAAATATATTCCAATGAGTGTCCAATTTACAAGTATTTAATTTCCTGACCACTGTTCAAAAATTAATCATTATACATCAATAATCAATTGGGTTGTTTATTTTTTAACAGTGATAGAGAAATTAAACACTAGTAAATTGGATACTCATTATTAAAACTGAATGGTCAGCTTTAAACTGGACACAAGTACAAATTAGATGATTCTTGGTGATTTTAAATAATATATACATATTTTTAAACAAAAACTTGATATTAAGCAAAAGTGAAAGAAATTGGTGCTTAGTACACAAGATTAAATGATACCTGGGTTACAGTGAGTCCCATTACAATTGTATTAAACCAATCTTTTCGCAGCCAAAACATGTAAAAAAAAGACCTTACAAAGAAAAACAGTGTAAAGCGAACATGTTACTGAGGTTGGAGCAGGTGCTTAACAATAAGCTATGTATAGGATATTAACCTACCCGAGCGTTCTCTACCATATCAATCCGAGGGAGAGTAGGTTTATATCCGTCATATACAACGCCATTTCACCCTTAAATTTAATGGGTTCTTCCATTAAAAGGCAACAACGATTGGATAATTGCTCGATAGTTTCCGCCAAATAGCGAAAATTACCGAAGTAATCACGTGCCGAATAGATTGACCTGAGATGATGTCATTAGCGGTTGATATGAAATATCAACCTGTCATGACGTCATCAGCGGTTGATATGAACGAATATATCAACCTATGATGATGTCATGACAGGTTGTTAGGAGATATAACTGCTATGGACATCAAAGTGAAAACTACCGCCAGTTGTATATATATATATATATTTTACCTGTAGAGGATTATCCAGTGATAAATAAACCATGCTCATCATGTTACTAAATACCTGCCCATTAGCCTCACCTGTAAATTAATCAATAATGAAATTAATCAGTGGATGTATTGAGATTATTCTTACCTTTACAAATTTTCTATGAATAAACAATTACTGAATTTATTACAATCAATGTAACGTTCTGACAACTATATTCTCACTTTTTTTATAATATCCTGGTTAAAAACGTTGCATTGTAATAAATCCAGTAAATGTGTATCCATAAGAGAGAGAGAGAGAGAGAGAGAGAGAGAGAGAGAGAGAGATTGGATTTAATGTCCACTCCACACAAACTAGGTCATTTCAGGACTAATATATGGTTCAATTTTATTTCAATAATTCGCTTTCGGGTAGGGATCTTTAGCAGTGGAAGGAAACCAGAGGGCCCGGAGAAAACCCACGAGGTTGGACAGGTGACCCTACTCCTTGTCACATACAACCAGGGAAAGTCTCTAGAGTGTTTCCAAGAAATTGTGAAGATGGACAGATGAACGGATAGGTGTAACAACAATATACCACCATAAATCAACGTGGGTGTCAACAAAATTGCAACGTAAAATATGTTATTCTGTGATGTTTGAAGTAAATTACAAAATCATACAAGATGAGAATTTATATACAAAGGGACATAACTCTACAATTTAACATTAGGGTTTCATCACTTTTTTAGCTACTCTTCTGAGGTTAAAAGTGCCATTGGTAAAACAAACATGGTCAGAGTTGGGTGAGATCTGCTTCTCAATTTGGAAATTTACTCCGCAGTCATGATTTGTATTAGGAAATAAGTCTGGTTCACAGAATACCTCTGAAGCTCCCCTCCCCCTAGACCAGTGATTCTCAACCAGCGTGCCGCGTCACACGATCGTCCTAGAGTGCCACGAAATTTTGAACGGCACACTAAGAAAATGCAAAAAGTCACACGATCCCAATTGAGTACTCACTTGTGTCTACGGGCCCTGAGTTCACAAAGCATTATCTGACTTAAGTTAAGAATTTACTCAACTTTCAATCACTGTTTATGAGATATATCTTTGTTCCAGAAACACGAAACTCTGCACATAGTTTCTTATTGATGTATATGATACATTATAACAACAAAAGTTTTATAATGGTCTATATTTTAGTTAAAATAAGGCGAACAATTTTGAGTAAATTCTTAACTTAAGTCTGAGAATGCTTTGTGAACTCGGGGCCTGGTAAGTTAATAGCTGTGTTTTCTTTATTTAGTTTGAGTCACTTTATGTGCCTATGACTAGTCTGTGTCCACGGTTGTATGCCTTCTATAAGTTGCCATGTTTTTATTTTGCAAAGTTCAATTATTTTTCATATATTATTTAGCCAGGTGTGCCGCTATTTTTTCCTGTGTTCCAAGGTGTGCCGTTGGTAAAAAAAAAGGTTGTGAACCACTCTAGTGTAAATTAATGGCGTCCAATTCTAATATTTCATCCTCGTCAGCACAATATTATGGTAATTTTGTCACAAACGTAAAGTGCTTTTTATTTCTATGGTACGGTACCTGTGTGCAATGCCAGTGGAAGAATTTTGCATGGACAGCAGCATTTCTGCCTACTCTTTTTATTTTCAACTGTCAAGGGTTCTTTTACGTACACGCCAATGTGTACAAGAGTTGACCTTAGCAAAGGTAAAGGCCAGGCTTGAAAAATCCCCAAAGTTCTTCTCAGACCAACACGAGTTCACAAAGCATTCTCACACTTCAGATCAGAATGTACTTAAAATTGTTCGCCATAAAATTGTACATTGTGTTAATATGTTCAATTACTAAATGCCAATCAAAGAAAATAAAATATTGCCCTTAATAAAACTATTAAGAAGCTAAGTGCAAGGTTTTGTGTTTGTGGATCAAAGATATTTCTGATAAAGACTGATTGAAAATTGAATAAATTCTTAGCTTAAGTCTGAGAATGCTTTGTGAACTCGGGGGCCAGGATATGAATGTCAAAATTCCTGACCAGGGATAATGTCAGTTATACCACCCTGGACAAAAAACGAATGGAGGCCTAGCTTGAAAATTTACAGAGGTTCTAAGTCCACCCTGGAATTGAATCGGGAACATTCCAGTCCAATGGCCCAACTCCTCAAATACCTTGCCCTTGCACTACAACATTACCTTACTTACCACCTTCAGACCGGGGTGGCAAACTAACTGTGCTGCTACGAAAATGGAAAACGGACTCAGAGCTTGTCAAGATTGCCATAAGCTTGGTAAAAGAGTGGTGGAAATGCCAGATATCGTGCTTGGTCTTCATAGTCGCCAATGATCGCAGAGACACAGCGTTTGTTTTAAGCATCTTGCCTGGATAGACGTGGGAACGCAACTTTTTTCAGGTTTGTAATTTCTTGGGTCATTTTCTCACGTTGTGTTCACGTTTGTGCATTTTCTGGTCAGCGTACGATCGCAACAGCGCAGTAAGGACGTCATCCTAGTCTGACGGGGTGAAGTACTTACCACCTGCTTTAACTGGTTGTGGAGAAGTCTGTATATGTATTGGACGATGCCCCGACGAATTATTAACTCCTCCATGATCAGACGTCTGTGGTTGATGAGATACTGAGCGTGCTGGTGATTGCCGTGTGTTACCAGCCTGGTTTAGATTACTAGGATATGTTCGTACTTGATGTACTGGCCCACCACCACCACCAATACCACCACCAAAACTGGGTATTGATACGCGATTCGTTTCATCTGATCCAATACGCTTGTGAGTATAACCTGAAGAAAAGTAAATCATTATTTAAGAGTAAATAAAAATAAGACGATATGAAATGAAATGTGGTTTAATATCTCGCTTTCCCATCAATCTGATTAAAATACACATCTATATTTCGTTTTTTATACTTTAGATTGCCTACACTACATGAAGATCTGACTAGTTGTTTTGGGAGGTCGCATCAGAGATCATACGAGTGGCTTTTGACCCTATGATGTCAGACATTTGATTAAGCAATTAGCATTGATGTTTCTAGTGGATTACCCACAGTTCCATGCACATCACACCAAAAGCTCGCTGTAACAGACCGTTTCATTGGCTAATCCCTCACATCATCCATAACATGTCAACGATAAAAACTCTTCCAGATCCTAGTGTTGTAAAGACAATTAAACAAAATCTTGAACTATAAAAAACGAAACGAAATAGGATCTGTGTTTTAATAAGATTGCTTTTGTTAATAAATCGAGCTAAGGAAGACGGGTTAAAATAAGGCAAGATATTCATGTGGAATGTAGAAGTGGCTATAGAAACACAAATGAGATCCACTCTGGCAAAACAATCCGAATGAAATGAAATGAAATGGCGTTTAACGTCCTACTGTTCTGCTCCAACTGGGCTAATGAAGTCAGGTATAAGCCATACAGTGTGCTACGAGGGAAATTTTGCCTGGGCAGCAGCTCTATGGCCTACTTTTCTATCGAATTCCAACTGCCAAGGGATTTTTTACGTGCACGACAGTGTATACACGGCACCTAGGTTGTTCGTCACATATGAATGACTAAAGAGCTGTCTTTGACAAGCCCTCCCATCCTGCACCACTGACAAGGGGAAACCACGTCGGAAAATCCAGAAGAATTTTTTTTGGCCAATGTAGCTCCCTAAACAATCTGTATGTCACACAGCATTGTGAGAGAGAGAGAAATGGGGTTTAACGTCCACTGGACACAAACTAGGTCATTTCGGGACTAACATATGGTTCAATTTTATTTCAATAATTCGCTTGCACGTAGGGGTCTTTAGCAGTGGGAGGAAACCGGAGGACCCGGAGAAAACCCAGTTGACTCAATGACAGACCGTATGATACAGAGCGCGAGTGCTAACCACTCGGCCATCCGCCCCCCCCCCACAGCATTGTATTTCCGCACAGTGAATAGGAGTGCGGTGGGAAGGAAATTGAAATTTCCAACCTTGCAACGTTAAAATAGTCAAATCTTCGTCATTTTTTTTATAGATAATTTTGTGTTTAATGTCCTATTTTCTTCAGAGTTAAATGTAGAACCTGAGTATATCAATAACTCAATTTTCATTTTTTAACCCATGAGGATTCTTTAGCCAGAGCTGGGCACAAATGTGTGGATAGAAAAAGGTTCACTACATGGAGATATATTCTTTTTTTGACAACTCATCCATTCTCAATACCAACTTTTATAAAAAATTTTATTTCAAATATTTAAATTCTAGGACATTCTTATCAGAGAGAGAGAGAGAAATGGGGTTTAACGTCCACTCGACACAAACTAGGTCATTTTGGGACTAACATATGGTTCTATTTTATTTCAATAATTCACTTGCGTGTAGGTCTTCTTCAGCAGTGGAAGGAAATCGGAGAAAACTCACAAGGTTGGACAGGGGATCCTACACCTTGTCACATACAACTGGGGAATCGAAACCACGTCAGTTGACTTAATGACAGACCTTATGATACAACACACACGCGCTAACGATTCGGCCATCCAACCCCCCTATGCAGCACATCAAATTCCTTGACAATTATTCTTATTGAAAATCAACTAAAATGGGTTTTAACGTCCTAGATTTCTACACGCTTGAGACTAAAGAAGAGCAGAATTTTACCCAAACAACAGCGTTTCAACCTACGCCTCATTGAGTTTCAACTGTCAAGGGTTTGATGTTACGTGCACAAGACCAATTTTTTTGGTCCCATCCAAACAACTAAGCATTGTACCTTGCCAAATGTGTGGTCAAAGGAATATATCTATATAGAATGTGGAATGAAGATAAAATATTGAGGTAGGTTAAAATAAGATACTAGAATGCCTGGAAATAAGGTACCAGACGATCTAGACTGGGTTTATTATTTCTACTCTAGGCTTAAAGATTACCAGACCTTGTCATAAAGAAATGTTAGAAGAGAGAGAGAGAGAGAGAGAGAGAGGGTTTGATGTCCACTGGACACAAACTAGGTCATTTAGGGACTAACACATGGTTCAATTTTTTTTCAATAATTCGCTTGATACTCTGTGCACATGCTAACCATTTGGCCAATTTTATCATTGCTTGAGAAAGAGAACAGAATTCAAGTCAAAAAGTAATATCATATTTTTATAATCCTATCATTTCTTGATAACAACTACAGAATTCCTCTAAAAAAAAATCACTAATTTGTGTTCTGTGACATGCCTCTGGTGAGTGGATAGTCACTTTCAAATGCCTTGTATTTAAGCAAATTCAGTCTAAGGCAAGTGAATACTTCCATCTTATGGCAAGGTCTGGACTAATTAAGAAAAAATACAAGAAAATAATCTACGAAACTGTACACTTTGTTGTGTGGAGAAAATCAAAAACAACATTTTTTTATATTTCAAACATTATACCCGAGTCCTGCTCATATTCGTGTCTATATTTCTATGAGCAGGAGGACTAAAATGACGTCACGGCTTGTTTATTGACAGAAAGTTACGACTACTCACGTAGAACAGCGGAAATTACTAATGTTGAAATTTACCTGTCACAGGTAATATTGATTATTGACATTTGGGGTCGTGGTATACTTATAGAAAGGATATGTTGACATAATTACTTGCATTATTTCAAAACATTATGAACCTTTTCTGGTGACCTTTAATATGAGAAAGACTTATTACTTTCAATTTTTTGGCTTCAACAGAGATCACAGGAAGGGGTGTATACTAGCTATTGTCCCTAAGTGCTGCTGCCATCTAAAAAACATATGAAAATGGGTTCCCTGACTTCCTTACATTATTTCTAAATAAATATATGTTTTATTTAGTTGCCAAATGGTCCTAAATTCCACGCAAAATAAAACAGCCGTCACATATTTTTTTATTTATCCTTTCAATCTAAACCAAGAAAACATGTCATTTTAATTTTCCATCATTAACAAGAAAGTGTACAGTTATTGGTGCTCTACCTCGTGTATTAGAACTAGCTTGTGGTTGTGGAAGCAAGAGTGTTTCACAAGATGGGTATCTGTTCAGAGCTGATTACATCCATGCAGTAAATTAAAATACACAATAAAACATAAGCAATTTTTCTATCAATCTGCTGATTAAAATACAGATCTATATTTCGTTTCATTTTTTTATACTTTCGATGGCCTACACTACATGAAGATCTGATAAGTTCTAGTGGGAGTTCACGTCCGGGGTTAAACGAGTGACTTTTGACAATATGATGTCAGACATTGATTAATCAATCTGCGTTGATGTTTCTATTGGTTTACCCACAGTTCTGTGCACCAAAAGGCCAAAAGCTTGCCATAACAGACCGTTTCATTGGCTAATCCCTCAGTTCCGTTGGCCAAGAACTCGCCGTAACAGACCGTTTCATTGGCTTATCCCTCACATCAGCCAGAATACGTCAATGATAACAACTCTCCCAGATCCTAGTGTAGTAAAGACAAGTAAAACAAAATTTTGAACTATAAAAAAACGAAACGAAATAGGATCTGTGTTATAATCAGATTGTTTTTCTATTTCTATAATTCATGGATCTTATATTAGCAGCCTTTATTTTTCAATATAAGATATAAGAGTGGCTATGAAGACCTGGTTATCCAGGGTGTTAGTGACTAGTTTCATTCGTATTGTTCTCTTCAGACTGATTGGACTCACGTGGCAAGCTTTTTTATTTATACTATTCCGTGGTTACTAATTGGCAGGGTTACAGGGGTCAGTAGCTCATTTAAGAGAAATGGGTCCACTCAAACTAGGTCATTTTGGGACTAACATATGGTTCAATTTATGGCGCAGCATGTATACTGTGTACTGCGCCAACACATGATGATTTTGAGTATTGTAGAAGATATATCAAGTTTTTTGACAGGTTGAAACGAAACAATGGAACTTTGACATTCAAGATATTACTGAAATATTAAAGAGAGAGAAAGAGAAATGGGGTTTAACGTCCACTCGACACAAACTAGGTCATTTCGGGACTAACATATGGTTTAATTTTTATTTTCATAATTCGCTTACAAGTGCGTAGGGGTCTTTAGCTGTGGGAGGAAACTGGAGGACCCGGAGAAAACCCACGAGGTTGGACAGGCGACCCTACTCCTTGTCACGTACAACCGGGGATTCGAAACCACGCCAGTCGACTCAATGACAGACTTTATGATACAGCGCGCGCACGCTAACCATTCAGCCATCCAACCCTCCTACTGAAATATTAAAATATTACAAAAGGAATGCACAATATCAATTTTATTGAAATGTCGAAATTCTTGATATTCAGGCTACTAATTTAAGATTCATGATATTTCTATAACGTAATATTATCTAATAAACAACAGTAAAATTAAAAAGAAATTTATGATTCGTGAAATCAATATAAAGGTATATCACACTAGATGACATGGGCCATTCATAACAAAACATATAACACAAGGTATATATGGATATAACTACTTCTCTATTATTTAATAAGGACGTTTCGTAACACTTACAGGTCACGTTTTCAAGTTAATGATAAATATCCATAAATAGGCTGACTAGATGGATTTATCATTAACTTGAAAATGTCACCTGTATGTGTTACGAAACGTCGTTATTAAAAAAAACATGTTTCTTGTCAATTTGTCAAGACTATTCTTGTGACAAACACTATTATCATTTAATTGGTCATTAACTGATTGGACTGAACTTAGTTTTTATAGACAGTTCTGCTGGGGCTTTATTCATGAATTTTAACTAATATATTTTTTAAGGAAAGCAACTGAATAGGGTTCTATTCTACATCGCCTTCTCAAAGAAACTTGGGAATTATGTGGTTCATAATTAACACTATGTGCATTCAGTTGACCATTTCATGGTTTCGGATTGTTCGGTGAAAGGATGTCAATATAGCCCCTATGTTACATGTAATTAAATTCCTATCTCTCCAAATATTACGAACAATTGTAAAGTCATGTGACATGGAGAGTAATTCTGCAAAAAGCTTTTAAAATATGACAATTGCAAAAAAACAATTCTGAAAAAAAAAAGATGCCATATAACATACAGAAATATTTGAAACTGAAATACATAAATAAAAATAAAATCTAAAGCATATTGTTGTAAAAAAAATCAATAGAACACAACAGTAAGTCCAAATTAATCTACATGCCCGCAGGATTAGATTTAAACATGATTTATGTTAAAAAAAACACAACACAATTTATATGGAATACAATCACTTGTTATACATGACGTTTCGACAAGTATTCTCTTATTGTTATTCCCTTCTTCATTAGCCTACAAAAATGACAATTAGTAAACTAAAATGAAATATTTATAATCGCATAAAAAGAAGCCATAAGACCTATGTTGTGATGCTCAATCACTAAATGCCACTCAAGGATTGTATAAATAATGTTAATATCCTTAAATGACATTTAGAAGTAGAGGTATAATATTCATAATAACACAACTTTATGGATTTACTACTTCTTAGTTTATTACATGCAACGTTTCAATACTCTTACAGGTATCTTTATCAAGCAATGATCAATAACAACCTTACATTTATATTACATCCATGAATAAAACAATTTATATCAATCAAATAATGTATCCAACCATACGTTTGTGTCATTATGAATGATTTATTTTGGTTTTAATAAAAGCAAACTGAAAATGTTCACATTATCCATATCGAGCAATGATCAATAATGAATCCAAACATATATTTGTGTTAATATGAATGATTTATGTTAATTTTAATAAAAGCAAACTGAAAAATGATAGACTATTAATTAACATCTCTGATTGTCATGTGAGGGATACGTTCGTTCATCCGTTCGTGGAGTTTTACGTCCACTTTCACCAAGGGTGATATCGTAGACAAGTGTTTCCTAACAAACTTGCCAGACGAAGTCACGAAAATAGGCTTGATCAAGCTTATTAGGGTAAGACACAATGTCTTTGCAGGGAAGTGCCCAAGGTGAATTTTATCCAAAGGAAAAGTTCTGGGTATAAGAAGAGAAAGAATGGCGATTGAAAGTAGTCTGGCTTGCTTTGCCATAAATGCTACGATCTTAGGTATGGTGGGCAAATTTAGGTTTGACTGTAAACCGTGCCCTAGGGCCCATCGCCTGTCCAACCTAGGTTCGGGGATGCAAGCCGAGCACCTTTGAGAGTTACAAATTTAAGTTCTTTTATAGAATCTAGTGTAAATATTGGAATAAAATTGAACCATATGTTAGTCCTGAAATGACCTAGTTTTTGCCAATTCTACGTTAAACCTCATTTCGGGACTAACATATGGTTTAAATTTATTCCAATAATTCGCTTGCGCATAGGGGTCTTTAGCAGTGAGAGGAAACTGTAGGACCGGGGGAAAACCCATGAGGTTGGACAGACCACCCTACTCCTTGTCACGTACAACCAGGGAATCGAAACAATACAAGTTGACTCAATGACAGACCTTATGATACAGCGCGCAAGCCCTAACCATTCGCACATCCGCCCAACCCCTAAAAATGCTAATGCCAATCAGAGATATTATAAATCAGGATTCAAAAAACAAAAACATGCAATAAACAACAATAACAGATAATAAAAGGATTGCACACACAAAACATGCTCTCTATAACAGAACACTCAAAGAGTTAATACTGAACAAAACATGCTCTCTACAACAGAACACTCAAAGAGTTAATACTGAACAAAACCAAGCAAAATATCACACATAATCTATCACTGACACTTTCACTATTTGGAGTTTAGATCATGCAAGCATTATTTCAGACCATCTTAATTAGTATGGAGAAACCCATTTTAAAACAGAAATTGTCAGTTAATTGAGAAACTACTGGGCCTGACTCACTGTGAGAATATTGGGAATATAGTTCATTTAAAATTCAGAGAGAGCTTACTGAGAAAAAATACTAGATGAAAAAACATTAGGTATTAGGGCATCTAGTTGACTCCAAATGATAAAACATTAGGTATTAGGGCATCTAGTTGACTCCGAATGATAAAACATTAGGTATTGGGGCATCTAGTTGACTCCGAATGATCAAACATTAGGTATTAGGTCATCTAGTTTACTCCGAATGATAAAAATAAAACATTCTGTATTGGGGCATCTAGTTGACTCCAAATGATAAAACATTAGGTATTGGGGCATCTAGTTGACTCTGAATGATAAAACATTAGGTATTAGTATTAGGGCATCTAGTTGACTCCGAATGATAAAACATTCGGTATTAGGGCATCTAGTTCACTCTGAATGATAAAACATTAGGTATTAGGGCATCTAGTTGACTCTGAATGATCAAACATTCGGTATTAGGGCATCTAGTTGACTACGAATGATAAAACATTCGGTATTAGGGCATCTAGTTCACTATGAATGATAAAAAACATTAGGTATTAGGGCATCTAGTTCTCTCAGAATAATAAAACATTAGCAGAAAAGAAAACAAGAATCAAGTATTAGAAACAGTAAAGATATTTACGTTTTATGTTAAAAAGTAGATGTGTTACATGACCTGAATGAAATCATTCTACTAGGGACAAGATGAAAGTATACAAATAAGAACTCATTCACTACAACAAACCACACATTATATCTGTAAATTCTGACAATTTGATCCCAAATTCACGTTAATGTTACATGTATATCTTAAGCTTAAAGTCTTAATGCATAATTTTAACAATATAGAATCATCTCCAAACTACAATATTGTGAATATCATTAAAGGGTTAGTGCTAAATGATAAGGCCAGATCAATTTTTCGTAATAGGTCATGAGAATGTAAACAGGACTTGCGCTAATCCCAACCCTAACCCTAACCCTGGTCCTAGGCCCAATGCTATCTCACCAACAATCATGTGCCCTAACCTTATTTAAATCTCAACGACCTTGAGAAAAATTGTGCTGGCCATAACAAATTGATTTAGCCCATTCAAAGATATGTAGAATAATTTCATTGATCTATGCTGCTTACTATGCAATAAACTCAGCGAAATTTTGATCTGTCAAGCTGGTACATTATCTAGCTTTGGTATTTTGATTTCGTTTTCTAAATTAAATGTGAATCAATCTGAATAAATTTTAGCTTGATTAAGCTGTGAAACTTTAAAAATACAAAATATTGTTGGTAATTTTTTATGAACTGAATTGAATTTTTCACTAGGGATTCTGTATGTCAGAGTTTACACATTACTAGCCAGTGTGGCTGCAACAATATGCAGAAGTACATGTACTATAACATATTTTTAGACCAGGTACTGATGGGTGCCAAAAATCTAATTAAAACACAGATCCTATTTTGTTTCCTTTTTTATACTTCAAAATTTTGTTTTATTTGTTTTCACAACATAAGGAGCTGGAAGCGTTCTGCTTGATGTGAAGTATTAGCCAATGAAATGATCTGTTTCGGCGAGTTCTTGGCGTTCTGTGCACGGAACTGTAGGTTAACCACTAGAAACGTCAATTCTAATTGATTAATCAATATCTGACGTCATAGGGTCAAAAGCCACTAGAATGACCCCTAATACGACCTCCCACTACAACTGGTCAGATCTTCATGTACAGTAGTAAAGGCCATCAAAAGTATAAAAAAAAAATGAAACGAAATGTAGATCTGTATTTTAATCAGATTGGGGCACCAAACACTTGTTATTCTTCGTCGAAATAAGCCTGGTGCTGCTTCGCAATTCATGGAACTTGGCATGCTTGTTCCATGGTTAATTGCACAACGGTTGACAAGACTCCTTTTTGTGATGATATCACAATTCCAAGAAGGTGTCGATGACATATTGCTCGGCTCGTGGCCATTATAGCAATATCATAGTTGTTTTTATACATGTATATCACAATATGTCCTTAGTTGATTTTCAATTTAAGACCACATTCCATCAATCTGATTAAAACACAGATCCAATTTCGTTTCGTTTTTATAGTTCAAATTTCGATTTTACTTGTCTTTACTACATTTGGATCTGGAAGCACTGTTATTTAACTCGTGTTCTGCTTGAAATGAGGGGTCAGCCAATCAAATGGTCTGTCGAATCGAGCGTTTGACCTTTTTTGCGCGGAACCGTGGGTAGACATTAGCGGCAATAGAAATCAAAACAAAGCAAAAGTAGATACAAAATGGCGGTCGCTAATTGGTTAATCGAATGACTGACGTAATCGGGTCAAATGTCGCTTGTTTGGTACCTGAGGTCATAGAACGTGAACTCCCACTATAACTTGTTAGATCTACATGTAGTGTAGGCCATCGAAAGTATAAAAAACGAAACGAAATATAGATCTATATTTTAATTAGATTGACATTCCATCTCAATTTAGAAATTTCAATTTCGAATACACAAACTTTTGTCCAATCCATCGTTAAATAACTTGAGGTAATTGGATAATAAATTGGTCTAACTTGCACATTGTGATATTTGAATAAAGGTGTTTAAGGATACTGTTGCAGCCTTTGGCCTTGATTCTAGTACCCTACACTACCATACACTATGTTGTAAAAGAGCAAAACACACTACAAAACTATCATTCACAATCACTATATTAAAACACTTGGCAAACCTCAACAGATTCCAGTACCCTACATCTAGCCTCAGCTGTATGACAAAGTCCGCCATTGAAACTACTTTCAAGTTCCCGGATTACCAACGGCGTTGCCCATGACGACACCTTTGAAGAATTTTTTATCATACAAAGATTTCAAAGTCTGAAGCTGTTTTTCTCTCAAGTTTATCCGATTTTCCTTAGAAAATGACAAGTTTGCACTGAAAATTCTGCACACTCTTCGAACGATGCAATTGTGAGAACTTCTTTCTAAAAGCGGCAAATTTTCCTAATAAGTAAACCGGTGCTGCATCGCAATTGTATAGGCGTAGGTACATATCACTTACTGTCATACAGTCGAGGCTAGATGTAGGGTACCGGAATCTGCCAAGGTTTGCCGAGTGTATATTCAACAAGTTTTCATTATCAGGGGTTTAACATAATTAAACAAAATTGGGAATAATGCCAAAGATTAAAATGTATGTTCAACTATATAAGAATCTATGTAATATTATAGCAAATTTGGTTCAGTTTTCATTTCAGGTTCAGGAAAAGGGAGAAGGGCAACTTGCATATACAAGAAGGGAATCCAATATTTTAAATTACTGAAATTTTCAAACAAGTCCCCACAACCACAAGCCAAACACCAAAACCAAAAAGTTCTAAACTTGAAACAATTTAATATGCACAGAAGGCCCTTTCCGTAGTATTATCTATCTGTGAAATATTCAATATCATTGTTATATCGTTAATAGGCGTTAAACCAGTTATTGTCTACCGTATCTACATGTACGTCTCGTGAATAAGTGAGATATCTTAAATAACTCGACACAAAAAAGGTCATTTTGGGACTAACATATGGTTCAATTTTATTTCAATAATTCCCTTGCGCGTAGGGGTCTTTAACAGTGGGGGGAAACCGAAGGACTTAGAGAAAACCCACGAGGTTGGACAGGGGAACCTACTCCTTGTCATGTACAATCGAAATCACAGCAGTTGACTTAATGACAGACCTTATGATATAACGCGCACATGCTAACCATTTGGGCATCCAACCCCCTCATGAGAAAAGAATACGAGACTAAAGAGTCAAGAGTTGAAAAGTTGTATAACTCGTTGAAGGCCTATTGTTTGGGACAATTTTATTGAAATTCATTCAGTATGGAAGACCAAACAGCTCTTTATTCAGAGTTCTTAGTACTTAATCCTTAATTCTTCATGTGTTGTTTTATTTCGACATCTGTTATGACAAATGTCTGATTTGTAAAACAAATATTGATTTTAAGATACAAATGTTAATTCTAGTGTACAAATGTCGAAATACGACAACAAATGAAGAAATAAGAATTAAGGACTATGAATTAAGAAATAAGAATTAAGAACACTTAATAAAGAGCTGTTTGGTCTTCCATAATTCAGTAGATTGTAAGTAATCGTTAATTAATATCCCTTACTCAAGTTGTCAGCTTTTTTGGAAAACGTTTTTTTTTTTTTTTTTCAGTTCATTAAACTATAATCTAGAATCGTCTTTATCGGTTCATGCATTTGTATTATTTTCATCTAACCGAACAAGAAATGACTAAAATATTGAAACAGAATTTACATCTATTCTAATAGGAGGTCAAGACCTTATGTGCAAAATTGTCACGGTGTGATTTAAACATTCTCACCTAGGGCCGTTGGTTGTTCTGGTACCGTCGTTGGTAAAAATACATAAGGCGTGCCATGTGACCCTGATCGTCGATGACCGAAAACTGTCAGAACACAAATAATCATTACATCACACAGCACACGGAAATCAAATACACGATTATCATCCAATCCACACACAAATTGATGACATACACAGCAAAATGTTTGTTATTAAACAAAAAAAAAATAAAAAACACATTTCATTGAAGAAGACACAAATAAATGAAATGAAATGAAATGGGGTTTAATGTCCTATTGTTCTGCTCCTAAACTGGGCTAATGAAGACGGGCATACGCCATACATTGTGCTATGAGGGAAATTTTTCCCGGGCAGCGGCACTACGGCCTACTCTTATATCGAATTCCAACTGCCAAGGGATCTTTTACGTGCACGCCAATGTGTACACGGGACCTCGGTTTTTCGTCCCATCCGAACGACTAGACAGCTGTCCTTGTCAGGTCCTCCGTCCTGCATCTCTGACAAGGGGAAACCACGCTGGAAAATCTGAATGAACTTTCTCGGTCAATGCAGGGATCGAACACCCGACCTCCAGGCTAGCGAGCCAGCGTCTTACCCACTTAGCCACGTGATCCCCAAGACACAAATAACTATGCAAGATAATGTTGTTTTCAATTTCAATCTATTTTTTGCAATATTTCCGAATGAAATGGCTGGCAAAACAATGCATACACAGCAGGGTTTTCTGCATACCTTTCATCGAATTAAGGGTTCTTTAACATGCACGCCAAATAAAACCCCACTGGTGGACCTCAATTTTCCGGCCCTTCAAATTAAACTACAGACAAGAGGCGACCAGGCTAGAAAATCAGAAAATCCCAAAGGACTTTCTCAGAACCCTTACCTCCTGGTTAGTGAGTCGGAGAGATCAGAGACAGACAGAAATAGGGTTTAACATCCACTCGACACAAACTAGGTCATTTTGGGACTAACTCATGGTTCAATCTTATTTCAATAATTCGCTTGCGCGTAGGGGTCTTTAGCAGTGGGAGGAAACCGGAGGAGGACCCGGAGAAAACCCATGAGGTTGGACAGGCGACAATACTCCTTGTCGCGTACAACCGGGGAATTGAAACCACGCCAGTTGACTCAATGGCAGACCATATGATACAACGCACACATGCTAAACATTTGGCCGTCCCCCTCCCCCAATACATGCACTGAGCCACTAATCTCAAATGACTTAGAAAAATATTCATTGAGAAATTTGTTCACACATGATCCAGTATTTTCTTCAATAAAATGTTTTTTATTCTTTTAATTATGATACGATTAATATGCATAAGATAAAAAACATAAATTTCCCATAGACAAGTTCGTTCCAGTGTGTAAAATTCAGTTAGTAGCTGACAATTCAAACATCGTCAAAATGCATTTCTCAAATAGCAAAATCAAATTAGAATTCATAATCAAAAATAAAATCATGCCTTAAAGAGTATCATTTATTCTTTTTTAATAATTTAGTCTTGATATTCCTGGTTTCGAATTCTTTATGTATAATGATCAGGGCCCCCGAGTTCACAAAGCATTCTCAGACTTTAGTCAAGAATTTACTCAACTTTCCAATCATTGTTTATGAGAAATATCTTTGATTCAGAAACACAAAAATTTGTACATAGTTTTTTTTATCGATGTATTTGATACATTAAAACAAAAAAAGTTTTATAAAGGGCTAAATTTTAGTTAAAATATGGCAAACAATGGAGAAAATTCTTAACTTAAGTCTGAGAATGTTTTGAGAACTCGGGGCCAGAATGATAAGAAGATTATAAAATCCAAGACTATAAGCCTGTGCGATTTGTTATAGGAGTAGGGATAGAGTCAGTCTATCAAAAAATCAGATTTAATTAACAATGAATTTTCAATCTCACATAACGTTATTGAGTGCTATTTTCACAATATTTTCTTCTTGCAAAAGCTTGTGCAAAATAATTTTAGAGATTGCAAGTAGAAAAAATATCACATAACATTATTCGAGCGCTGTTTTGACAACGGGAACACATGTATATCTAATGTTATCATGACATAAAACGAACGCATTACAAGTCAGGAATCAATGTTTTTTAGCGCCAGTGGTCATAGTCATAAGGTACATACGTAAGTCAAAGCAAGTGGGTATGAATTTCCTACATTACTCCACCTTATCAATAATACTATTACAACAAACACATTAATAAAAATTCAAAAGAATTACGATACCTCTCTGATGATTGCCTGGTTTTTGTAAGTTTAGATTATTATCATTGAAGTTAGTAAAATCGGCCGATCTACGTTTGTGTGTCGCTTCAGCTTGTACAGGTGTTTCGGCTCGAGAACTTTGTGGACTTGATAAACTTTCAAGACTTGCTGCTAAAGAAGCTGGAGCACTTTGTTGACCAGGTACTGGAACACGTTCTTCCTGTAAATAAAATAAAATAAAATGGGGTTTAACGTCCTACTGTTATGCTCCTATATTGGGCTAATGAAGACGGGCATACGCCATACAGTGTGGCACATCACGCCAAAAACTAGCCACAACAGACCGTTTTATTAGCTAATCCCTCACATCATCCAGAACACAGGTTATATACTCTTCCAAAAAAAGTAGGGGATATTCAGAAACAATACAAAACTGCGGAAATGCACTGCTGTTTTTATTAGAGGTAACCACTGTATGTTAATAACTGGCCAATTGCCTACATATGAACATAAACTGTTCATATGAGCTGCTTATCTGACGGCTCCATTGATTTTGATTTTTGTCTTAATAATGAGTAATTGCTCCACCAATCCTCAGACATTCAGCAATTCGTCTCCCGATCAAATTAAACGTAACACACTAAAGCAAAGATACGCTAAACAGTAAATCTTATGCAAGAACAGATAGGAAAGCAAACATGGATAGATAAACCAGCACGCGGCAGTTTTCATCAACCCTTCCTTGAAGTGTCAAATTTGACAATGAACCCCTCCCACGTGTATGGCGCTATTGCGTGTCGCACGTGCAGCTCAGTGGTTCTGTTGGGGCAATAAGTTCTTCATCTGTGAACATACTTTCAAAGCATGTCAAGTGCCCATGACTATTTATCATATCACAACCTGTATAGGTATTTGCATTTCAATATCCCCTGCTTTTTTTGAAGAGTATACAACAACTCTTCCAGATCCTAGTGTAGTAGAGACAAATAAAACAAAATTTTGAACTATAAAAAACAAAACAAAATAGGTGTTTTAATCAGATTGTTTCATGACACAAGGTTAAATGGGGTTTATACTTCAATTATTTTGATATCGAAGTATAATATGTTTTATATGGATCACTAAACAAAGCTGGGGAGAGAATTTTGCCCAGGCAGCAAACAATCCGTATCAGCTGATTTTGTTCAATCACAAGAAAATAAAGTAATTTTGATCAAAGATGGTCTTCAAAAGATTTCAATTTCATCACAGAAGAATCTTGTGTCATCAATCCTTATTCAAGAGACAGAGAGAGAAGAGAAATGGGGTTTAATGTCCACTTGACACAAACAAGGTCATTTTGGGACTAACACATGGTTCAATTCTATTTCAATAATTCGCTTGCACCTGGGGGGGTCTTTAGCAGTGGGAGGAAACCGGAAGACCCAGAGAAAACCGACGAGGTTGGACAGGCTACCCTAGTCCTTATCCTTATTCAAACAATCTTGTTTGCCATACTACAAATTATCTTATATTCCTGAGACGAGAGTCGGGTCGGAAGAAATGCGTTATTTACTACGAAATGAAATGAAATCAAATGAAATGGGGTTTAACGTCCTACTATTCTGCTCCTATACTGGGCTAATGAAGACGGGCATACGCCATACAGTGTGCTATGAGGGAAATTTTGCCCGGGCAGCGGCACTATCGCCTACTCTTATATCGAATTCCAACTGCCAAGGGATCTTTTAAGTGCATTCCAATATATACACGGGACCTCGGTTTTTCGTCTCATCCGAAGGACTAGACAGCTGTCCTTGTCAGGCCCTCCGTCTTGCATCACTGACGAGGGGGAACCACGCCAGAAAATCTGGATGAACTTTCTCGGTCAATGCAGGGATCGAACACCCGACCTCCAGGCTAGCGAGCCAGCGTCTTATCCACTTGTGGATATGTTAAAACTGCTCCACATTCTATTTTTAACAAATTTTTTTCTCTTTAAACTTCTTTAATTAAATAAAAAATATTTTGTGGATATATTAAAATAAAAAAAATAATGAATAACATTGTAACCCAGGTATCGTTTAAGCTTGTGTATCTAGCACTAATTTCTTTCACATTCGTTTAATATCAAATCTCTGTTTAAAAATTTGTAAAAACTGTTTAAAATCACCAAAAATCGTTTAATTTGTACTTGTGTCAAGTTTAAAGCTGACCATTCAATTTTGATAATGAGTGTCCAATTTACAAGTGTTTAATTTCTCAATCATTGTTAAAAAATAAACAACCCAATTGATTAATGATGTATAATGATTAATTTTTGAACTGTGATCAGGAAATTAAATACTTGTAAATTGGACACTCATTATCAAAATTAATCAGTCAGCTTTAAACTGGACACATGTACAAATTAGATGATTTTTGGTGATTTTAAAAGATTTTTAGAAATTTGTAAACAAAGATTTGATATTCAACGAATGTGAAAGAAATTAGTGCTAGATACACAAGATTATACGATACCTGGGTTACAGTGTTATTCATTATTTTTTTTATTTTAATATATCCACAAAATATTTTCTATTTAATTAAAGAAGTTTAAAAAGAATAAAAATTGTTAAAAATAAAATGTGGAGCAGTTTTAACATATCCACAAAATATTTTTTATTTAATTAAAGAAGCTTAAAAAGAAAAAATTTTGTTAAAAATAAAATGTGGAGCAGTTTTAAGATCAAGCTAATATTAATTAAATCTTATACAAAGCAAAAAGTGTGATAAAATAAACCCATCACCAAATAGTTAAATAATGCTTCTATTGTAAAACACTTGGAGAGAGAAGGGGATGGGGGGAGCGAAAGATTAAGATTAAATTGCCCTCGTTCAGTTTTAGTTCTTACGCAAATGTGTAGCCTTAAAATATACATTTGCTTGACAAAGACGTTGTATCATCGTTGAAACATTGCGTAGTCATAAAATCATAAATGGTGTATCCATAAAATTGTACCTTGTGTTAAAATCGTAAAATACAAATTTCAATATATTCATTTGTCAATATCTATTTTTGTACTATCATAGCAAGAAAGGCTGGATTTTTACCTAATTCTTACAGAACACATCTAAATAGTTTTACAGTTTCATTGGTAATGACGATTAGTTATTAAGTTAGCCATATTTCATCCTTATAAGTGATACTAGCGATATCACATCACGGTGGAAGCGGACGTTAAATAAAGCTATTTCAAACACACCAAGCGAAAATGTACTACTGATCACACTGTAAGTTAGGTATCATTTAATCTTGTGTATTTAGCACTAATTTCTTTTACATTCGTTTAATATCAAAAATGTTTCCGGCGTGGTTCCCCCTTGTCAGTGATGCAGGACTGAGGGCCTGACAAGGACAGCTGTCTAGTCCTTCGGACGAGACGAAAAACCGAGGTCCTGTGTATACATTGGAATGCACGTAAAAGATCCCTTGGCAGTTGGAATTCGATATAAGAGTAGGCGATAGTGCCGCTGCCCGGGCAAAATTTCCCTCATAGCACACTGTATGGCGTATGCCTGTCTTCATTAGCCCAGGTTAGGAGAAGAACAGTAGGACGTTAAACCCCATTTCATTTCATTTCATTTAATATCAAATTTACAAGTGTTTAATTTCACGATCACTGTTTAAAAATTAATCATTATACATCAATAATCAATAATCAATTCAACAGTGATCGAGAAATTAAACACTTGAGAGAGAGAAATGGGGTTTAAAGTCCACTCGACACAAACTAGGTCATTTCGGGACTAACATATGGTTTAATTTTTTTATTTCAATAATTCGCTTGCGCGTAGGGGTCTTTAGCAGTGGGAGGAAACCGGAGGACCCAGAGAAAACCCACAAGGTTTAAACGCTTGAAAATTGGACACTAACACAAAGATCTGATATTGAATGAATGTGAATGAAATTAGTGCTAAATACACAAGATTAAATGATACCTGGGTTACAGTGTCAGTTTCCTTAGTAGATCTTATTGAGAAAATATTTCATGAAATTAAAAGAGAAAAGTGATTGAGTGACCAGGAGAATGTGGTCATATATTTGTAGTAGAAATTAAGATTAGATATAAAAATAAAAGAATGGGTTAACTATAATATATATATTTCTATGGATCTGTCCAGTAAGTACACCTATGACGTAGTTATTCCAAGGGAGAGCAGAAAATCAATTCCAGGGAGTCAATAAACTTGTTGAACAGGGCTACTGCTAGCGCCTATATATTTACAAATTTTAAATTCCGTAGCAGATAGTTATGTATGGTACTAATCTATTGAAAAGAGAGTGAGAGAGGTGGGGTTTAATGTCCACTCGACACAAACTAGGTCATGACGGGACTAACATACGGTTCTATTTTATAATTTACTGTATACAAGGGAGAGGCTATAAAATACTCTGGAATTCTATAGCAAATGTTATTCATATATATATATATACTGTTACACTACTGTATGTGGGGTAGGGTTTATAGAGAGAGAGAGAAATGGGGTTTAACGTCCACTCGACACAAACTAGGTCATTTGACTCATTTTGGGACTAAGGTAGGGTTTATAAAATACTTTTGTAAATGTTACTTTTACAATCTACTGTAAGTTTGTTTTTTTCTTTTGGGGGTGAGGTGGGTGAGGGGATTTATAAAATAGTCTTGAATTTATAATTAAATATTAGTTAGGTTAATTAAAATCTACTGTTTGTAGGGAGGGTTTATAAAATATTTGGACATTTTTAATTGAACATTAGCGGTTACGATCTACTGTATTTGGGGAGGAATTATAAAATACTCTGGAATTTTTTAATTAAATATTAGTTAGGTTAAAATCTACTGCATTTGGGGAGGATTTATGAAATACTCTGGAATTTTTTTTAAATATTGGTTTGGTTACAATCTACTGTATTTTCCCTCAAATGCTATCTATGACAAGTTTGAATCGACCCTTTAAAATCCTGAAATTCTTCTCGGCCACACTATGATTTGAAACCAAGGAGATTCTGGTCAGGAGTTCAGTTCTTTAACCGCTCGACTACCCCTGCCCTTATGATATTACAAATGACCCTTAATTCTTTCAACTATAACTTTTTCCAAGAATTTGACATAACCAATGCATGCAGTATCATTAACAATCTTATATTCTGTAATACATACATCGACAATGTTTGTTTTAAATAATGAATGGATTATACAGGTAACTCAGCTATCATTTAGTTGTGTTGTTTTAGCAGGAGTTTCTACTAATTAAAGGGTGTTTGGTTTATAACTGTTTAAGTTTCTCAAAAGATGTCGCGAAACTAAAAAGTTATAAACCCAACACTCATTATCTAATCTAGACAGACTCTTTAAACTACACAATAGTAGAAACCCAATGGTTTTCTATGATTCTCAACAGATTTGAACAGTTTTCCAACAATCGTTTGATACTAAACATTAAATACAGAAATTCCTGCTAAAACAACATAACTAAATGATACCCAAGTTGTAATAAATATAGGCTATAAATAACTAACTAGCATATCGGTGTACAGCCCTGGCAATTAACGACAACTTTTATTTTTTTTATAAATTTTCTGGTAAATTGTCTGACGATTAAATCAAGTCTATATTCGTAAATGAAGTGTAAAAAACTAGTTTTAAGCCGACAATTATGCCTCTAGACAATCTACCAAACCATCTGTAACTAAAATTTATGTCATTTTTATATAGAAAGAAACTTTTGGTTATTTTATCCATTTTTAGCATCAAGAAAAATATGCATGGAGGGTTTTAATGTATATACAAACATGACTCAATGACAGACTTTGATAACCATTTGGCCATCCAACCTCCCCCTGCCTCCCGATTAAACAGAGCAGGGTTGGTCTAATCCAATCAATATCTGACCATTCGTTAACTAAATGTCTAAATAATAATTCAATAGGCAGATTTAGTTCTTACAAAATGTCCTGTTAGATATGTTTTCTATTGTCTAAATGCCAAGGCTGTTTATATAATATTAAATATTAATAAAGCTAAAAACCAAAATGCAAACAAACTCTGTTACCTCAATCACAATCTTAGGTGGTGAACGATTGGTTGTCTAGCATTTCAACAAAATTAAAAATATTATTTTAACAAATAAACAAAATGCTAAAAATAAATTTTCAAAACCAAAATACAAATAAAATACATAAACATAGTAAGCTTGAAATAAAAATTGCACAAACCGCTGAGCCTTTAAAACAATGTTTAGTAGATAATCTGGGTGAGGAAATAACATAATATAACAAAATAAATGCCCTTTATTAGGGCTAGATCTATTTGATAAGGCCAACTTCAAGTTTGGTCAAAGCGATCACCAGATGTAAACAGGGCTAGTGCTAACTCCAATCCTAACTCTGGAACTATCCCTAATACTTACCTTAACCCTAATCTACAATCTTACCAACAATCACATGCTCCCTAACCTTGACGAAAATTGAGCTGGCCTTAACAAAAAGATTTAGCCCTTTATTAGGTTAAATTCCAATAAAAAATTTGAAATTCAACATGATGAAAAATGTTACAAGATAAATACCCTTCATTAGTTTGTATGCAAATAAAAAAATTAGAAATTCAAAGATAGATTAAACTGTAAACCCGAAATGGATGTGTGTCAAAATTATTGCAATCTGTAGCAATTGTGGTGAGTGGATTTAATGCAATCTGTAATGTCATACAGATGTGTATTGTTATTAATCCAGATGTAATTTATCCAAATGTGTTTTGTAATTAATCCAAACATATTTTGTAATCTATCTTGATATCTATTGTAATTAATCCATATATGTATTGTACTTTATCTTAATATGTAATTGATCCAAATGTTTTGTAATTGCTCTAAATGTGTATTGTAATTAATCCAGATCAATATTGTAATTAATCCAAAAGTGTATTGAATTATGTGTATTGTAATTAGCTGAGCGTATTAATTTCTTGTTTTACAGTATGTTACGTTAGTTAGTAATAAATCAAGGGATAACCTTGAGTTTAAAAAAAAAATGACTTTAAGTCTATTGTGTCTCTGATAATTTTTATGAACTAAAGTTGTCATCACATCTAGACTAATATCACACACATACATAGTTGTAATATATTCAATTATATGAATTTCAATCAATGGTTCAAAGACTTATTTTAGAATATTTAGTATTTGTCAAATAAATTAATAAAATTTGATCCGTTTAAATCATTTCTTATTGGAAATATTAAATATAAATCAAACCAAAACATTGAAAAATTAAAGGTCACCGGAAAAGCGTCATAATTGTTTTAAATAATGCAATATAGACTAGAATATGAGCAGAAGGATTAAATTGACATCATAAATTGTTTATTAGCGGAAAGTGCCGACTACTCACGGAGAATGGTAGAAATTACTAAAGTTGAAATTTACCTGTTGTAGGTAATATTGACTTTCGGGTTCGTGTTATACTTATGGAAAGGATATGTTGACATAATTATTTGCATTATTTTAAAAAAAAAGTTGAAGAACCTTTTCTGGTGACCTTTAAAGATATACTTCTGCAAAATTTTTTTAAAAAATTGAACATATGACTCGATTATTTGAATATTCAAATTGTATTGATTTCAAGTTTATAACAATAAGCTACCCAATCAATTACGATGTCGTAATTTTTTAACTATTTTTAAATCAAAACTCAAAATGTATCTTTTTAAAATTGCCTTTTATAACTCTTCTTAACTTTCCTTTAAAATGCTTATTGATTTCTTTACTGTTTAGACCTATTTTAAGTGTTGGACAATTTTTAAATTTATTTATTTTATTGTTAAGGACATCTGGGCACTTATTGGAAAGATGGTCTATAATAATAATAATCATTAATAATCATGATGATGATGATGATGATGCCAAGTCACTACAATTCATACACATCCTTACTCTTCAAATAAATTATCATTAATCAATGACATTCACAGAAAATCTCTGTACCTTACCTCAACTACAATAGGTGCAGATCTGTTGGGTTGATAAGCGACGTGAACAGGTATGCCTTGCGGAACTGTGTTTTTTATTGTACCACCATGTGAGTCTATTAGTTGCTGACTAACGGTACCAGGTGGCGATGCTGATACTGTTGTTCCATACTGACTAATATTACTTCCTGTGCTTCGATAATCTAAAATTAATCAACAATTCAAATCATTATTTATATTCGATCTAAATGATGTTTCCTTACACTTCTGATAACCTCTACTCCACACTGATCTGATTGGGGGTCCTAGTGGGTAAGACGTTGGCAAGCTGACAGGTGGGACTGGCATGATTCTCTCTTGTCAGTGGTACAGGACAGAGGGTCTGGCAAGGGACAATGTATAGCGTAGGCATTTTGAATAGGTCAAGTCTGTCGTTAATTTATCTTCTTCGCCGTCTTCAGTTGATCGCACTCATGTCTTTGCTATCACGTGTTCATTGATAATGGGCGTACTCGATTGAACGGTTAATTTATCTTCTTCGCCGTCTTCAGTTTATCGCACTCATGTCTTTGCTATCACGTGTTCATTGATAATGGGCGTACTCGATTGAACGGTCCGGAATTGAATTCTCTCAATCCCAAAAGTAGCGACAATCGAGTGAACATGGGTACTTCGGGCTACAACGCATGCGTCGACTGGATATATAAATATCTCATCCAACCATGCAGCCGAAACCTGTTCGTCGTGTTTAATTACGTCACAATTCTACTCACACCACCCCCGTCGTCGGGACTAACAGAACTGTGACAGAATGAATTCCGCGTCACTCGATTGCAATTCTGTCAATTCGGGACGTTCCGGACTGTGACTCGAGCATCCCAGGTGATCGGCACACGGTTCGAAGAGATCCGTAGGGTTAGGTTATTTAGGTTCAATCGGCATGCGCAACGAATGTTTCCAACAGGTGCTAGGAATATTTTTACGACTGTGAATTAGGGGGAAAATTTGTGGATATTTTTGAGTATTTGTCACAACTGTCGTACAAGAGATTAAAATTATCAAAGTAATCAACAAAGACCCACGGTAGTGAGTTTTAATCTCACAGATAATTGATTGGTGATTGCTTGTTAATCTTTTGTGGCTTCACACCCATCCAGTTTTAATCTCACGGATAATTGATCGGTAAGTGTTTGCTTCACTCCCACCGATTGAAGGCCAGATTATACAGTGTCGATTCAATGAAAATCGTATGATGGGACGGCTGATTGATGTCGTAATCCGGAACGTACAGAGGTCGAATTACCCAGAGATTTTTTGGCTGAAGTAATAAGGAAATAAATCGGGACATGAAAATGGTGTCGGATGTAACAGAGTGCCGGAGTGATCAGAGGTCGGATGTGACAGAGTGCACGGTATAGTCATTCAAACGGTACGAAAAAATGAGGTCCTGTGTATGCATGTAAAAGAACACTGGGCAGTTGGAATTTGATATAACAGTAGAACATAGTGCCACTGCCCGGGCAAAATTTCCCTCATTATAGCACACTGTATGGCGTATGCCTGTCTTCATTAGCCGAGTCAATCTATTTCCAACAAGCGATGATATATATTTGTTGTATAGAAATGGAAATGAAATGAAATGGGGTTTAACGTCCTACAGTGTGCTATGAGGGAAATTTTGCCCAGGCAGTGGCGCTATGGCCTACTCTTATATCGAATTCCAACTACCAAGGGATCTTTTACGTGCAGGCCAATGTGTACATGGGACCTCGGTTTATCGTCCCATCCGAACGACTAGACAGCAGTCCTTGTCAATCCCTCCGTCCTGCATGACTGACAAGGGGAAAACACGCCAGAAAATCTGGATGAACTTTCCCGGCCAATGCAGGAATCGAAGATCCGACCTCCAGGCTAGCGAGCCAGCGTCTTACCCACTTAGCCACGTGAACCCCTTGTTGTATAGAATAATATATCATAGTTTATTGAACGGTATACATGTATATAATCACAATGTTGTTGATATCGGTTATTATCAGCGGGAGTTTGCCACATTTTACTGTCATAGTGCCGCTCTCTGTGCAAAAGGTGAACTTTGACTGAACTGTATAGACTACCTACTTTACTTGTTTTTCACTGCTCAGTATGTAATTAAAGACAAGATTTGATAGTAAGACTTATAGCACATGCATTGCCCCTGATCACAAGTGGAAAAAGGTCTTTAAAAATTATAAGCTAGGGTTACATTGGGAAAAACAGTTCACGCTTAGATAAAACAAACATATTATATTGTGTAAAATGAAAGTAGAACTCACTATATTCAGACTGGTCATAATAATCTGGATCCTCATACACCAAAGGTTTATCATCTCCATGGAAAAACTACAAAAAAATAAAACACATCAATTAAAACAAAGCCTTGGAGTCTCTGATCATAATTTGAAAGATTTTTAATTCCTTGTCAATTACAATATTTTGAAAGTTGAATCTCTAATATTAATATCAGGGAGTTGGAAAGCCGAATGGTTAGTGTGTGCGCGTTGCATCATTAGGTCTGCTGTCTTTATTAGCCCAGTTCGGAGCAAAACAGTAGGACGTTAAACCCCATTTCATTTCATTAGGTCTGTCATTGAGTCAACTGGCGTGGTTTCGATTCCACAGTTGTAAGTGAAAGGAGTAGGGTCGCCGGTCCAACGGGTTTTCTCCCACCGCTAAAGACCCCTACGCCAGTGAAGGGATTTCAAAATTTTACTTGTCGGACAGTTTACCGAAAATAAAGGGGCATAACTCTTATCGTTATTTAAGCAGACGAATTCGTACCACAACTAAAAGTCACATGTCAAAATATTCAAATCCCGTACGTAATAAAAATAGGTGAATCTCGCTATTTTTCATATTTAATTCCCGTACAGTATTCAATTCATACCACAATTAAAAACCACATGTCAACAAAAATATTCAAATCCCGTACGTAATAAAAATTGGTGACCTCGCTATTTTTCACACTTAATTCCCGTACGGCATTCAAATTTATGTCAGTAAATGTCCTACAAAATTAAGCATTTTCGTCATATGTTGAATGAAAGCTTGCCGATCCTGCTTCAGCATCAATTTCACAACCATAATATTCCGTTAGAATTACGTGTCTTCGTTTATACGGCAGCAAATGAATGCAGAACTTCCGAAATAGTTAAATCACTTGTAAACAGGCATAGCTAACTTCAGCGAATAACACTCTTTCATAGTCACGACAGAGTGACAGGCATCACAGCAGAATGACTGACGCCTACAAATACGTTAGAATTTCTGCTCATATAGCTATTGGTAGCCCCTCCCCTTTTTGTTATTTTGCTGGGTGCGTACTAGTCTCGGTCACCCAGAAACTCCTAGTCTTCAACATATTCGTAGAATATTTTTCTGGATAATAGAGACTAATAGCCTACGTGACTCATCACACGGCTTCATAGTAAGCACTGCCTAATAATATGTTAAGCAATATTCGTGCCGCGCTCGAGATTAAGGGAAAGTGCCAACGTGGATGAGAATTTCTATATGGATTCTTAAAAGACGTGGACTAGAAAATCTCAAAGAATTCTCTCTCCTTACAAATATCAGGATCAGAAATCGGAACAAGGACCTCCACCGTGGTTCCCAAAAAAGATTCAAGACCTGAATATTTTACTCTATATATCTACTGAATAAACGAATATGTAACATTAGTGTAGTCTTTCGGATGGGACAAAAAACTGAGGCCCTGTGTACACATAAAAGAACCCTTGGCAGTTGGAATTCAATATAAGAGTAGGCCGTAGCGCCACTGTCCGGCCAAAATTTCCCTCATAGCACACTGTATAGTGTACGCCCGTCATTAATTCAGTCTGTACAGACAATTATTAAATCCCATCTCAGCAGGGAAACTTTTGGCTGCATGGGGCACCCTATCATTAGACATGAAACTAAATTATTACCTGAAATAAATGATGCATAATTCTGACAACTTCTGCCATGGATGGTCGTTCTACAGGATTACCAGACCAACATCTGTAATGTCAAATACATCTCTTCAGTCACATCATTCAGATAATATTTGGATTTACTCCGGAAATAAACCATAAACAATTCTAAAACCCTTAAACTTTACACATTGTCAGTTACAAACACTTATGGATTTGTGTACTAAACGTTAAAACCAGCGGCTGCCAGTCAGGATACGCCCACATTTTCGAGAGATGGATAGAGAACAAGCTAAAAAGAAAGTGATTTTTCCTACAATCAAGGGCCATAATTGAGGAAATTACAATTCGATATGCGCAAACATCGAAAGGAACCGAGATCTTTGGGTTATAAACTTACATTTCAAGTTTCAACAAAATCGGATAAAAATTGTAACCTCTATAGGGTCCACAACCTTGATATACCATATTTTTACGCTATTTGAGAACGAACGGCGGCCATTTTGTCTGTCAGTTTTGGGCCGATTTTCACAAAATTCGAACTCAACCGTCCTTAGGGTTTAACGGTGATATAATAATATGTTTTTTTTAAATCGGATAAAAATTATGACCTCCTATAGGGTCCACAAGCCAAAAAACGCATTTTTGCTTACAATCGGGGCCATAATTCAGGAAGTTACGGTCCGATATACGCGAATATCGAAAGGAACCAAGTTCTTTGGGTTATAAGCTTACATTTCAAGTTTCAACAAAATCGGATAAAAATTGTGACCTCTACAGTGTTCACAAGCAAAAAATGTGATTTTTCGTACAATCAGGGGCCATAATCCATGAAGTTATGGTCCGATAGATGCCAATATCGAAAGGAACTGGGATCTTAGGGTGATAAACCTATATTTCAAATTTCATTGAAATCGGATAAAAATTGTGACCTGTAGACTGTTCACAAACAATTGTGGACGGACGGACAGGGGTTGGTTTTCCCCAAAATACTCATTTATGGGAATGGATTCGGTAATCATCGAAAATTCCCAAACCTCCCCAACTGGCCTACAATTAGCATTACCCAACCCCTTCAACTTAGATTTAAAATCCCAACGAATGACCTTTGAACTTTAACTTACCTAGTCATCAACAATTCTAGTGGCTTTGGCAAATTTCTTATCAATGGAGGACGTTTACCTTAAATTAAAAAAAAAGAAACAAAAAACTCAAACTGATATCAAAATTAAAAATATAATTGACTATGTAATGCTTTGGGATGCAACTTTTTATTACCAAACACACCCAATTCAATTAAGATATCATTTTCTTGTCCATAATCAACTCTCTTGACCTTAATTTAAAGTACAAATACAAATTAGACACAAGTACAAATTAGATGATTTGGGGTGATTTTAAATAATTTATACAAATTTTTAAACAAAGATTTGATACTAAAGCAATGTGAAAGAAATTAGTGCTAGATACACAAGATTAAATGATACCCATGTTACAGTGATGGTTTCTAGCAAAAGTTTCGTACACAAACGTACCTTGATGTACTGCCCACATTATTCTGAAGGCTGGTCCACCAATTTCATCAAATGGTTTACGTCGTGTTATAACTTCCCATAGTATAATTCCCCAACTAAATACATCACATTTCTCACTGTAATTACTACCTGCAAATAAAAATAAATGTCATTAATAACAGATTTAAGCTAAAAACAAAGGTCGTTAATAACACATTTGAGTTAAAAAAAAATTATTTCAGTTGTTATTTATTTAAGATATAATAATAATGAATGGGGGCTAAAGTTCACTCAACACAAACTAGGTTATTTCGGGACATAATATGGTTAAATCAATCTGACTAAAACACAGATCCTATTTCGTTTCGTTTCGTTTTTATAGTTCAAAACTTTGTTTTACTGTCTTTACTACACTAGGATCTCGAAGAGTTGTTACTTTACTGGCGTTTTGGTTTAAGTGAGGGACTAGCCAATGAAATGGTCTGTTATTGCGAGTTTTTGGTGTTTGATGCACAGAACTGTGGGTAAACCACTAGAAACATCAAACGCTGATTGATAAATCAATGTCTGACGTCATGTGGTCAAAAGCCGCTCGTATGACCCCAGATTTACATGTAATGGAGCAGAGCAGAGAGAGAGAGAGAGAGAGAGAGAGAGAGAGAGAGATGGGGTTTAACAACGTCCACTTGACACAGACTAGGTCCACTTGACACAGACTAGGTCATTTCGGGACTAACATATGGTTTAATTTTATTTCAAAAATTCGCTTGCTCGTTTGGGTCTTTAACAGTGAGAGGAACCAGAGGACCTGGAGAAAACTCACAAGGTGGGACAGGCAACCCTACTCCTTGTCACGTACAACCGGGGATTTCGAAACCACGCCAGTTGACTCAATGACACAGCGCGCACATGCTAACCATTCGGCCATCCAACTCCCCTTCATGTAGTGTAGGTCATCGAAAGTATAAAAAACGAAAAGAAATATAGATCTGTATATAGATCTGTATTTTAATCAGAATTTGGTTGAATTTTATTTAGATACAGATATAATGTAACCAGTATTTTTGTATGGTTTCAAGTTTCCGTTCTTACCTTCAAAGACTTCTGGTGCCATCCAAGCAGCACTGCCCTTGTTATTAGTCATGTGTGTTTGAATATCACAAGCTGTTCCAAAATCACATATCTTCAACACAGTACCTCCCATAATCAACAACAAACTACAATTAAAAGTTTTAATATTAATTGGTTTCTTAAACCAGTGTTTATTACCCAATAAATATATAAATACTGCCCCTTTATTTGTAAATAATTTAATTAAATCAACTTGTCCATGATGTATAATGTATTGTACGTTTAAAAAACAATAACATAAACCAGTGGTAAATATTCTAAAAGTACCTCCCATAAACTAGAATTAAAGTTTTAAAATTAATTGGTTTCTTAAACTGGTTGTAATTGTTCGAAATGTTACTAGTCTAGACAACTACGTATGAATGGGAGCCAGCTTCTTTCCCAGTTAGCCATCGTGAAAGGGACAACTTGCGGTGAACTACAGTAAATAATGTTTACAATTGAGAGATTTGAAATTTCTGTGTATAAGGTTCACCTCGATATTTTCAAACTTACATGGAAGGTTTGAAATCTTGGTGTATTACGTTTTGAAACTTTCATGGGGGTTTAAAATCTCTGTGTATAAGACTTTAAAAGGGCTAAACCTCCCACTCAAAGTTACATTATGGAAGATAAGATAAAGGGAATTTGCTGAAAATTTCTGTGTATAAGAGCTTTAGGACTTACTTGGGAGGTTTGAAATCTTTGTGTAGTATGTTTGGAACTTATAGGGGGGAGGGAGCGGGGTTATAATCTCTATGTTTAAAGTTTTACAACTTACTTGGGAGGTTTGAGATCTCTGTGTATGAGAGCTTTAGGACTCATTCCATGTAAATATTCCACACCTCGTGCACACTGTAATGCCCAACTCATTGCATGAGCTGCCGTATATTCAGGTTGAAACTGAGTGCCATGTAAAACTGAAAAAAGAATGTCCAATATTAATGAATGAAATGAGGTTTTACGTTTCTGCACCAACCGGGTTAAGGAAGACGGGCATATAATATGAAATGGGGTTTAACGTCCTACTGTTTTGCTCCGATTGGGCTAATGAAGATGGGTATATGCCATAAAGTGGGCTATGAGGGAAATTGTGCCCGGACAATGGCACTACAGTTTACTCTTATACCGAATTCCAACTTTCAAGGGATCTTTTACGTGCACGCCAATCTGTACACGGGACCTGGATCCCATCCAAATGACTAGACAGCTGTCCTTGTCAGCCCCTCCGTCCTGCATCACTGACAAGGGGGAACCACGCAGGAAAATCTGGATGAACTTTCTCGGCCAATGCAGGGATCGAACACCTGACCTCCAGGCTAGCGAGCCAACATCTTACCCACTTAGCCACGGTGCCCCCGGACGGGCATATGCCATACAGTGTATGATGCAGCAAATTTTGCACAGACCACAACACTCATTGTTATTTTTTTGCATATTCTGCATATATATTTGCCTACTATTCACATATTTGTATCATTTGCTTGATAAAGACGAGAGTATCCTCGTAGAAACGTCGCTTAGTATTAAACTCAGTAATAGTGTATCCATAAAATTGTACCCTGTTCAAAGCAGAAATTAGAAACCAACTTACCATTATAGAGTGAACCACCCTCTGCATATTCCATAACAAGGCATACCTTTCAAAAAATAACATAAAAGATAAATTTTAAACAAAGGTATAGATAAAAGTTTACTGTTTTAATCCCAGTCCCAGTGTCACCAAAACATTTGTAAATTTATTGCTTTTAATTATAACCCGACAAAATGCTACTCATAATTCATGCAGTTTTCCAATATTTTTCCTTTTATAATTTTTAGCTTTGGTAAATAAATGAAATGAAATGGGGTTTAATGTCCTACTGTTCTGCTTCGACTGGGCTAATGAAGACGGGCTTACGCTTACACCGTACAGTGTGCTATGAGTGAAATTTTGCGCTATAGCCTACTCTTTATATTGAATTCCAACTGACAAGGGATCTTTTACATGCACACCAATGTGCATTTGGGACCTGGGTTTTTTTCCCATCCGAACGACTAGACGGCTGTTCTTGTCAGGCCCTCCGTCCTGCATCACTGACAAGGTGGAATATTCTCGACCAACACCGTGATCGAACCCGTGACCTCCAGGCTGACCTATGGCTTTTGGCTTCAAATGTTATATAAATTATTATTTAGACATTTTATTAACATGACAAGCCTATAATCAACTCTCTAGATCATCAGATGGCAGAGATTTAAATGGATTTGAACATCCGCAAGATTTAAAAATTTAAAGATAAAATAGACAATCAAGGCTAAGTCTCAGTTGTCAGGTACTGTTGCTTTATTTATGATAATAAATGATCTACACTATATTCTTCAAATAGTCATAACTTCCCTCAGTGGTTCTCAACCTTTTTTTGGCCAACGGCACACCTTGGACCACATGAAAAAAAAGCAGCACACCTGGCTAAATATATATGAGAGAGAGAGAGAGATGGGGTTTAACGTCCACTCGACACAAACTAGGTCATTTCGGGACTAACATATGGTTTAATTTTATTACAATAATCGCTTGCGCATAGGGGTCTTTAGCAGTGGGAGGAAACTTGAGGACCTGGAGAAAACCCATGAGGTTGGACAGGCGACCCTACTCCTTGTCACGTACAACCGGGGATTTGAAACCACGCCAGTCGACTCAATGACAGACTTTATGATACAGCGTGCGCACGCTAACCATTCAGCCATCCAACCCCCCTAAATATATATGAAAAAATATTTGAATTTTGCAAAATAAAAACATGGCAAGTCATAGACGGCATACAGACTAGTCATAAACACACAGAATGACTCAAACTAAATAAAAAAAAACACGGCTCTGAGCTTACTTGTTTCGAATTTCATCAGTCAAATAGCTGGCTTCTTTTGTGAGAAATTTTCTTGGTGTGCCGTTCAACATTACGAGGCACACTTAGGAAGATTTCACGGCACACTGGTTGAGAACCACTGACGTACATCAGTCATTGATTTTTAAGGCGAGCAATCGCTCCCGAGCACCTGCTGTTCACCGGACTGTCGACCGAGGCGAGTTTTTTTCCCTCCCCTTAAAACTGAAAATCACTTTCCTTTACATAGTCATTGGGGGTTTATTATCATTTATGAAACCAGGAATGACCCCATTACATGCAGTTATTGATCTTAGAACCATTTCCCATGCACATAACTGATCACTCTCCTTAATATCAGATCACTCTCCTTAATTTCTAAATCACTCTTCTTATCAAAAGTGGGAGAGTTTTTTTAAGGGGAATGATTTTTTCAATTCGTTGATTGAGGTGAGCTTTTTTTGGCTCTCCTATACAAACAACAATGACTGGTACATGTAATCTTATTCATTTTGCATTATTCATCTTGGAACTATTATAGCAAGAAATTTAAGTCTAAGCTCTTTATCTAAATCTTACATAATACATTTTTAAATTACAAATGATGAATCTTACCGGGTGTTTTGTGCAGGCACCATAAAGTTTGACAATGTTTGGATGACTGACACGTGATAGCTGTTTTAATTCTGTTAAAAATGCCTTTCTCTCAGACTCTGTTTCTATGTTTTTAACAGCAACTAATTTATCTCGCCATATTCCTCGACTTACAACACCAAACGCACCTTTACCAACAACCTGTATCAAAATAAATAATAATAATGTAAAACTTATATATAGAGCACCAAATCCATTCAACAACTTGAGAATATAATTATTTACACAGTGAGTAGAAAATGTAATTCTTGTTGCATTTAATACATTTTCTTTGCCAAATATATGTCATTGTAATAGGCCTACATGTAATATACCGAAGGAACAGGGGCTATAGTTTGGCCCTTGTCATGCCGTACAGTTCCGACAGAAGAGTAGGAAAGCCACCCTTGCCTAGCGAAACACCTTGGCCTTGATTAATTTGACATTTAATTAATTTGAAATATGACTAGTATAGGTCCTACAGTAGCCTATACACAGAACTGTAGTAATTGTATACCCAGGCAACAGATTGTATTCTGACTCTACCTTGGACCTGAATATTGTACACGGTAGCCTACGTGTTGTTAACTTAGTAGACCTACTTGGGACTGTCATCCGAGTAAAACGCCCCACTGACATCTAATTTTATAATCTACAAATTTAAAGTATGGAATAAATAGGCACAAGTAGCCAACAAAGAGATAAATTAGTAGGCCTTGTTTCTATAAAATGTCAAATGATGTTTCATTTTGTTTATTTGGCGATGACATGTTTACGTTTTTTTACATCTCCCGGCCGATCAGAATTTGAATGCCTTCATCCTCTCACCTCCTTGAAGTCGATTTCGGTGATATTTATTTCCTCTACAAAAGTCTGTGGCGAATCCATGGCCGACCAAGCTGTTTAAAACCGTGGAAGCGCATCGATTTCACTTATTTTCTGGGTGTTTTTGCTTCGTTTCGTCTCCATTCAGTCTGCAAAGTCTCCATTTTCCTTAAAATTCCAAAACATTGGAGAATACTCTATTCTGTACTCGAAAATATGACAGGATTTTAGCCACTAGTGCAGAATTATTGACAGCTGTCAGCCTTCACCTTGGAAATATCAAGGGAAATAATTTGAACAACTGGATACAGACCACATTGACTTCCAAATAAATTTTAAAACACGTTTCCCTTTTATTCCAGGCCATGAGTTGAAAGTAGAACAATATAGCTTTATTTTTATGGCTACCTTTGACATCCATCTTATACTTAATGAAAGTTTATTCCATAAAACAGGTGTTTGAAAACTAAAAGAGCGCTGACCATAAGAGCCTAGTTGAACAGGTTTTGACCATAAGAGACTAGAGAGAGAAATCGTGTTTAACATCCACTCGACACAAACTAGGTTATTTCGGGCCTAATATATGGTTCAATTTTATTTCAGTGATCGCTTGGACGTAGGGGTCTTTAGCAGTGGGAGGAAACCGGAGAACCACGAGGTTAGATTTGACATCAAAAGTAGTTTATCTGCTGTATGAATATTTCGTTCGGCAAGTCTGATACCAACAGCAGAATCTTACGTCAGAATAGCCACCACAGCAGATTTCACAGAGTTTATCAAAGAAAAATAAAATATGGTTGTTTTTCAACGACTGAACGTAGAATTATTTCCAGAACTTAACAAAATGTGGAATATAATTTTTTACAGTAAAATATACAATTGAAATGTGTGTAAATGTTGTATACCGAGGTCGAATCAGATTACTTAATTAAAACAGAATGTTATTGTGAATGTCTAATCATGCACAATATAAACTGTTTGTTCGTTGTCTTCAAGGTCCAGGTCGGTCGAGAAAGATCCCCGAGATTTTCAAGCCTAGTTTCCCCTTGTAAGTTTAAAGGACAGCGTTTAGTCGTTCGGATGGAACGAAAAACAGACCTTGTGTACAAGATGGCATACACATTAAAGAATCCTTGACAGTTGGAATTCGATAAGTAGGCCGTACTAGTGCCGATGTCCGGGCAAAATTTTCCCCATATTTATTACCACACGTATTGCGTTAGCTACCTGAACGTAACTAAAAACGCTGAGATATACTGATGTGCTTGTTTTTAGCTACGATTGGATGCCTTTAGTTCCAAGTGGCAAACTCAATTTCTTTATTAATGTATGTACCATCTTAAAAATAAGTTAATTTTATACTATTAGTACTTATTACACATACGCAGTCCAATCTACAGAAACAACATTCATTTATCAGCAAATATTGACAATAAAGTAAATCAAGCGTTGTTTTTATCAAAATGGCCTCATCTCTTATCTCGAAACACGGAGGGTTGAGAGATTAAGGTTTGTTATCTAGTATTGCGTATGCCTGTCTTTATTAGCCAAGTCGGAGCTGAAAAGTAGGATGTTAAACCCACTGTGCAGGACAGGGGGGCCTGACAAGGATAGCTGTATAGTCGTTCGGATGGGACGAAAAACCGAGGTCCTGTGTGGTTGCACGATTTACCCAAATCTACCATTATTTCAATTGATAAGACAATAACTTAATTATATCGATATTTGATATTATACGGTTCTTTATACCAAATTGCCATTTTAAATTTTATGTCGTAACGTTTTGGTGTCAAAATGGCCCACAAAATACGATTTCCATGCAAGTTTGGAAGTTGTAACCCAATCCCCCATAATGTAACTCATAATATCACAACAATTTGATATCGATATGATCGATAATATACCGTTCTTTATGCAAAATTTCCATTTTAAAATTATTATCATGAGTTGAAATGATGGTGGATTTGGGTGATTTTGAGTAGATTTGGGAAAATCGTACTATCGGTCCCGTGTACACATTGGCGTCCACGTAAAAGATCCCATGGCAGTTTTAATAGTTTATATAGATGAAAGTAAAAGAGAAAAAGGAAATTCCAGTAAATAATTATAATTTTAGTATTTTTCAGTTCTAAAAATAGATTTGAAAATTCCCAACACTGAAAATTCCCGGAAAGTTTCCCTGAAAACTTTCCAAAATTCCCGGAAAGTTTCCCACTCTTTGCAACCTTAATTTCAGCACTATTAGAGTTAACGCTTTAGCTAAGAAGGACCCGTGTACGTGCAGAATAACTTGGCACAGAAAGCGACCTTAACCGATCAAGTTAAGGCGTGGTTATGCTTCTTAATTCCCGCCTACAAATAAGGTAGAATTTCTGCTCTGATAGCTACTGGTAGCTCCTCCCCTTTTTTGGTATTTTGAAGGGTGGATCAAAGTATCCACCCAAAACATCCTTCAGCCTCGGTTGACCAAACGTATCAATTAATAGGGTTTTTTTGCCAATATTTGTTCGAGACTACTTCCGCCTTCGAATCGTTCATTTCATAACCGTCTTGATAATAAAGTCTGAATTTCGCATTCGGCTGTCACCGGTTTGTGTCGTTCGAGTCAACTTTGTTCATAGCAAATCTAATGATATATGTCACAATTTTATTAAAGGCCAAACTTAATTCAAATAAACATCTAACCTCGGAAAAAACATCATTGCGATATAGGGATCGATGGAAAGGCATCTAAATTATATGTCATAGTTCGGCCATACTAATAACTATCTAAATGTTGCGGGCATGCATCCGCATAGGCTAATAATCTTACGTCAATTGCTTAAAAAAACTATTTTCTCGCGTTTACAATTTACACGATGACACGTGCCTGCTTTGCAAATATACTTGACTTTATGGAATGGGAGCTGCGGTTGCTCAGTGAGTAGAATGCCATATTGCTAACCAGGTCACGGGCTTCCGATGTTAACCGAGACAGTTCCTCAGAAATTTCCGACTCGCACTCACCATGATTAGTGGATGGAGAGCATGACAAGGAAAGTGACTAGTTGTTCGAATGGGACGAAAAACAGAGGTCCCATGTAGCCTACATATTGGTTTGATGTTGATTTACATAATATTGTGCCACTTGAAATTCTTTGGAATGGCTATAGAGAGAGAGAGAGAAATGGAGTTTAACTTCCACTCGACACAAACTAGGTCATTAAGGGACTAACACATGGTTCAATTTTATTTCAATTATTCACTTGCGCGTAGGAGTCTTTAGAAGTAGGAGGAAACCGGATGGAATGGATAGAAACCTAGGGCCCATCTGTGTACCATGGCGTGCACGTAAAAGAACCCTTGATATTAATCCCACTTATTTCACACGCATGTACAATCTGATTAAAACTCTGACCCTAGTTCGCTTGGTTTTTATAGTTCAAAATTTCGTTTTACTCGTCTTAAGTAGACTAGGATCTGGCAGAGTTTTTATATTACCAGCGTATTTGTTGAAGTGAGGGATAAGCCAATGAAACAGTCTGTTACGGCGACTTCTTGGCGTGCCATGCACGGAACTGTGGGTAGACCACTAGAAACGCCAACGCTGATTGATTCTGGCGTCATAGGGCCAACAGCCGTTTGTACGACCCCCGCGTACAACTTGTCAGATCTTCATGTATGTGTAGGCCATCGAAAGTATAACAAAACGAAATATAGATCTGTATTTTAATCAGATTGCACGCAAACAAAAAATAGCCATAAACTATTTTCATACGGTCACATATTTAGTGGTTAAAAGGGCTGCCTTAAATTTTACCATCCCATTAATTTTGTCTGTATGTGACATGTCGCCATGTCTGTATCAGATTTCGGGCATAAATGGTGTCGGGTTTGATAAATCTCGGTTCTGGACGAGATGGTTCCTAGTAATTTTCCTGCGATTTGCGATCGATAGGATACGACCCAATGATCGAACAATTCCTGCGAATAAGGAAAAATAACCCTAAAGAACTTGCTTGTAGAGTGTTCGCAATTGGACGACCAGTGGACAGACGTTAAGTAACCACAGCATACGTGCTCTTTATAAATGCCGGTGTATAAAAAAGATGGTTGCTTTAATGGCTTTATAATCTATTTAGACCTTAATGGCAAATACTTGTTGGAATGATGTTTGGAAATTCCAAGCTGTGTTTCAGCTCAGGCTGGATAGTATCTGACATGATTTGGGTGTAATTAATTTTAAAAGCTTTGACTAAAGATTTGAAAGGCAGCCCTTTTGGACTGTGTAATGCATCTGCCAACTATTCCAGCATCGCTACACTTTGTTAGAATACTCTGATTGATACCTTGTATTAATGGCAGACATATGAACGCAAGAGAGGGAGACGGGGGGGGGGGGGGTAACGTCCACTCGACACAAACTAGGTGTATTTCGAGACTAACACATGGTTCAACCTCCGAGTTTGGACAGGCGACCCTACTCCTTGTCATGTACATCCGGGGAATCAAACCCACGCCAGTTGACTCAATGGCAGACATATGAACGCGAGAGAGAGAGGGAGAGGGGGGGGTGTTAACGTCCACTCGACAAAAACTAGGTGTATTTCGGGACTAACACATGGTTAAACCTACAAGTTTGGACAGGCGATCCTACTCCTTGTCACGTACATCCGGGGAATCAAAACCACGCCAGTTGACTCAATGACAGATCTTATGATACAGCGCGCATGTGCTAACCATTCAACCACTTCCCCCCACCCCATGAGTTATCAGAAACACCACTGTGTCCAAGCACACCTCATGGCCTTGAATGTCTTCATTATTCAAAGTTGAGACAGAAAAAATGGGGGGGGGGGGTAAGCTCTATATTATTTCATTTTTATGTTTGTATTATTTTAATTTGTTTTATTTGTAGACTGCTGAAGACCCCTACGCGCAAGCAATTTATTGAAATAAACTTGAACCATATGTTAGTCCCGAAATGACCTTGTTTGTGCCGTTAAACCCCATCTCTCTATCTCTCTAAACTGATAAATTAAAGTGTCGTGAATGACTATTACACATATACCTGTTTTAGGACGTGACACACAATCGTTTTACTCACATTATATTATATTAAATTATCTTTTAGGGTATCGGATGTAGCATGGTAAAACTACAGTGAGGAAGTTTCACAGAAAGTCTTAACACATGAAGAAGTTTTTGGTCGTTTTCAAAGTTCAA